TGACCTTTTGAACTTCTTTAGCTATTACTTATTCTAAAAAAACCATATTCTTTTGTTTCTACGGATTTTATTATAGATTTTTTAATCTTAGGTTTGTATAATTTTATATTTATGATAGTAGATTGTTTTACCAAGATGGCATATTTTGTACCATGAATAAAATCTATCACTAGTGAAGAAATAATTAAGCTTTTTTTAATAATATTTATTGCTATCATGGATTATTTAAGAATATTATATTCGATAGTAGGATTTAATTTATATCAAGATTTTGAAGAAATTTTTTTAAGATTTTAAAGGTGGATATAAAGCTCTCTTTGGCTTTTCAACTTCAAACTAATGGACAAACATATGAGATGAATTAAGTTTTGAAATAATATTTGAGATATACCATCAACTATTATCAAGATGATTGGACAATTCTTTTGCCATTGGTAGAGTTTACATACAATAATTTGATATATTCTTCTATTCAAAAAACATTTTTTTTTTGCTAATTACAATCATCATCTATAATTTGATACTTTTGACTTTTTAAAAATTGATAATCTTATGGTAGAAGATTTGGCAATTTTTTTGTCAAAGGTACATGTAATAATAAAGGTACAATTAAAATAAGCTCAAAAATATTATGACAAAAGATTAATATAGATGCATATTACAAAAATAAAATCACAATTTAATGTTAGTAACAAGATATTGTTATTTTGTTGTAATTTCAAGACTACTCATCCTTATAACAAGTTGGTCTATTGTAAGCTTTGACCTTTTTTTATTTGTGAATAATTCAATCTTATTGCTTATTGATTATATCTATTGAAGTCTATGAAGATTCATCTCATATTCTACATGTCTCTTTTTGAGGCATATAAGACAATAAATATCTTGAAAAGAAGATAAATGCCACTTCTTCCTATAGAAGTGGATAATAATCAAGAATTTGAGATAGAAGAAGTTTTAGATTCAAGATGATACCAAAATGCATTGGAATATCTTATTCATTGGTATAGATATGATATTAGTGAACACACATAAAAGCCAATAAAAATCTTACAAATATAGCAAACAAAGTTGAAACTTTTCATTGATGACATCCATCAAAATTAAGATAAAAAAACAACAAGATTTATGAAAGATGATGACCACTTCTTGTAAGAATTGGCCTTAGAAGGGAAGATAATGTTACAAACATATATATTTACTTTAATAATTGTCTGTATGATTTAAATAGAAGTAGATAAAAGTAGGTTAATTTCATAATATCTTCTAAAGAAGCTTCCTATAAGCTTTATAGATGTTACTTTAGTTGTATATATATTTGTAATTAATTAATAAGCTAAAAACTTATAAAATAAGCCAACTATGTGGCATATATATAAATAGTTTGCCTTGTAAGTTAAAACATATATTAAAAAAGTCAATACATGTTGGAGGTCCTATATAATATTGCCATGTAGTTTCTAGTTAGAGAATATTTATAGAAGTAAGAGTGAATCTTTCTTCATTCTTGTCAATGCCTTTCTTGTCTTCTTATTTTTGGCAATAGCCATTTTGATTCAATATATTACCATCTTCAAGTAATTTTTAGTCTTTTGAGTGATACAAGAGTGTATTGATCTTTTAGTTCTTTTAGATTCATGTCCTTGATGCAAAGCAATCTTAAAAAAAAAATGTACATCAAAAAAATTACATTGCAATAAAAAAGAAAGTATCTTTTTTATGACTCTTTTGATATAAACAAAAATTCTTTAATTGTGATTGTAGTGAATAAATTGAAATACAATATCTATAACCTCAATTTTCTAAATGAGTTCAAACAATGTGTGCATGCTATATATATATATATTATCTATTGAATAATATATTATAAATAATATAATAATATAATATCTTATATTGTAATCTTGATTTATTAAATGGATTCAATAATAAGCGCACATTAAGTATTCAAATGCCTATCTCCTTTAACTTGCAAAATCCACATTCATGTCAAATATTATAAGGTATGAAAAGATTGTGAAGATCTGTATTTGCATAATAATCTTTGAGGAGTTGCTATCAATTTCAATTGAGATAAAAAAAAGTATAACTTGAGATGAATTTGGAATACCATTAACTTTGAAGTGGTGAACCATAATTAGATTATAGAAACATATAAAAAATATATTAATCCTAAGCTTTTATGGATAAACTTTACCATTAATGAGCAAGCTTAGATAATTCTTGTTGCCATGATCAATAACAAGATGAATACATCTAAGTTAAATAAGGAATTTTTAGAATTATTTGGCATCAAAGAATCCTTGAAGAAATATGTATGTAAGTCTAACATGAAAATCCTAATGAGCAATAAAGTAGCATCAATAGGAACATTCATACCATTAAATGTCTACATGATTATTGTTTTTTGAAAGCAAATTTGTAGATTTCAATAAATATAATTGAATGCATAGGTAATAAAAGAATATTTTTTTATTATTATTATAATAAAAAATTTATATTTAATGAGATGTTAAGTAGTAATTATAGAATAATTTAATTCAAAAAGGAAATTTCTTTAAAATATATTCTTTATCTATAAAGACCTATTTGATAATTGTAATTGAATTTTAGTCACTTCTAAAATGAACAATATCATTAATTATTCCAAGTATATATCTTTGAATGCTAAAAGTTCTTTATGCATCTTAAACTTGGTCAATTAATTGTAGTATAAGCTTTAAAAAATTAGGATTTAGAATTTATTTTTTTATACTTTTAATAGGATTTTATATACAAGAGAGATGAAGAATACATGGGAATTAATAGAAACTTGGAGAACATAGAGAAACACATGGGAACTTAAAGAATGTATGAGAACTTATAGATATTCAAGGTATGTATGAAAATTTATAGAAAATTTGGGAATTCACAAAAATACATAAGAATCCATGAAAATCCATGGAAAGTCATAAGAACACATATTAACACTTTTCTATGCCTAAGAACAAGGATTTTGTCTTTTCTAAATACAATTAAAATCTTATATCTTAAAACCAATGAAGATGAAAATACCACCATAAATGTGATTAATTTCAAAGTTCTTTTAACTTTGTTATTTAAGTTGTTGTAGTAAATAAAAATAATGTTTCTAATTTCACTTATTAAACATAAATGGTTCCATTGTTATGTATATATTCTTTTTATTTTATTATTTTATTATTTCATCTTTTTTTTTCTTGATCAATATTTCTTTAATAGTAGTCAATTCTTGATTTAGCAACAACAAATTAAAATTTTACAAATTTTTTGAGGCCATCGGCACAGATTTCTATTCATATATATATATATATATATATATATATATATATATATATATAAATAGATATATAAACAAATTTTATTTGAATAATTTTTAATTTCTTCTTTTTTATAGAAAAATGTTCTATAATTTTCTTGTAAAAAGTATTCTAATGAAATAGTAAATAGAGAGTACTTGTTTTATTGATTTATGATGACATTGATGGATTATTATTATTAAAAATATTATTTTAGTTTTGGAGAAATATATTTTAAAATATAATAATGGAATTAAATATAATCAAATTAAAAAATCATATATGTTATAAAATTCAAAAGGCCTTCTAAAAAACTTTGGATGTATTTAGAATGATAATGAATGTTTTAAAAAATCAATGATTTTTTCTTTGATTGTATATAAGTATGTATGTATATATATATATATATATATATATATATATATATATTTTCTTTTTAAAAAATGGCAACATCTCTATATTATTTTTAAAAATAACATTAAGTGAATATTTTTTAGTATTCCATCAAGTTGTTGATGAAGACTGGTGTATAGTTTATAAATTTTGAATTTAATCATACATTCTTGTTTATTTTGTAAAGTAAGCAAATTAATAGATTAAATGATTTCAATATGAATTTTTTTAATTTGAAATAATTTATTATTTTCCAATTTTAATTTATTTAATTTATTGTTTTTTATGATTTTTGACATTATGAAGGATACAAAAACAAACAAATATTAAAAATAATAATATATACTACTTCAGATGGGCTATTCTTAAGATTGGAGGGGGTGGTCTCAGGTGATGTTTTGGATGAGGTAGGATTCAAATTTATTGCACCTTGTTTAAATCACCAAAAATTGATTAATTTTTAATATGAATCATGTGATTTTTATATGTGAAAATATTTGATTAATTGTACTTCAATTGTAATTACATTTTTTTTGTGATATGCATTTCATTTTTTCTACTAAATACCATGTAAAAGAAGCCTACACCTATTTATTATTAAGGTATATGAACATTTTATGAAATACTTTGAGAATTAATTTGGAAAGAAAAACAATCTTAAAAAATTCAAATTTTAAGCATAGACATAAATAGACAGATGAATTTCTATCACCCGCCTATATTTCTTGTAATAACCCCAAATAAAAATAGTATAGTCAGAATTATAAATTTTCAATTTGAGGAAAAAGATAAATTATAGAGAATAATTGCAATTAACTCTTTAAGCCAATTCAATGACGTTTTGAAGAAGAAGAAAAAAAATTATTGTGGTTTTTTAATCATATTTATATGTTTTTTTCTTTCACACTTTTATATATGTATATATGTATATATATGTATATATATTTATATATAGTTTTTTTAAGTGTTTTGTGTATATATGTTTATAAGTATATAAATATACAAAAATTTATAGATATAAATATAGACACGTGAATTATTAAATTTATTATATATATATATATATATATATATATGCACACATGCGGGATTGTGAAGACAACAGCTAGGTTCTCCAGCGGGGGAAACGGAGTGAGCGAGAGTGCGCATGTGAGGGGAACGAAGCTGTTCCCGAGAGGGGTGGGGGGGGGGGGGGGGGTGCTTCTAGGAGCTTCCTTCCTTCCTGGCCGTGCTTCCCAAGGGGGGTCGGGCTGGGCCGGGCTGCTGATGTATGTTGATGCTGCACAGACTGACCCAGGAAGTCATTTGAACTGCTCGTCTCGACGCCTGCAGTCCTTCCTCCTTTGCACACCGCGCCTCGCAATTCGCCGGCGCCACTTGCTCATCAATTTGCAGTCCAATTCGATTTCGCATTCGCCATTCGCAACATCCACATCTCGCATGCCTCGGGTGAGTCTCACGCTCCCCTTTCCCGATTTTCATCTTCGATTGTGATTTGGCTGTGTTGGGTTGGTGTTGGGTTTGGAGCCTACCTGCGTCTGAATTGAGTCTAATCATCCGCCGTTGCTGCTGCTTCTGGTGGTATTTGGGTCTCGATCTTGGGACAGTTGCGGAATTTCGTTAAGTCATAGTGTTCTTCCAACGATTTCCTCTGTCGGTATCGTTGCGGAGGTATCTTGTGTCCCGTGGTGTGATCGTTGTGAGATGGAGCATAGTTTTCAAGAGTGTGGACCGCTTGGTATCTTTGGATCACTTTGTGTTTTTTTTTGAGCACGCACGGGCTTCGTTTGCGTCGCAGTTGATGTTTAGGCAACTTTACATCGTCTATGTGGTTTTGGATTGACGGGGACAGAATGGGTTCGAGTATTGGTTTAACTGCTGGGCACTTTTATTGATGCCTATTTTTTTTTCCCGATTGTTGGCGTCAGTTTAGACGATGGATCATCTTTTTTTAGAATCACTCCGGATGTAGAGTGATGGTCCATTTGATGATGTGCTATGAGAACTTCCACTTACTTGCGGGTTTCAACCGAGTTGTGCTTGAGCTTACGTATCTCAGGTCCCCCACCTGTGGGTTCGGCTTAATTGAGCATGGCTCTATATATCGTAAGTACGATTGTGAACGTAGTATGAGCTTCTAGAGTTATATTCTGGGCACGAGTACTGTTGATTTGATTACTTAACATTGTAATTAGCAGCTCTGTGATTAATTTCTGCATATTCAATGTTATCCTGAAAGCATCTTGGAATTTTTTGACGCAGGATTATACGTAAGGAAAGGCACAAGGAAATTCAATCATGGCAGACGAAGCGAAGGCGAAAGGAAATGCCGCATTTTCTGCAGGGAAATTCGAGGATGCTATTAAGCATTTTGGGGATGCAATAGCTCTAGCCCCGGACAATCACGTCTTGTACTCCAATCGCTCAGCTGCATACGCTTCTTTACATAAGTATCAAGACGCCCTCCGGGACGCTAAAAAAACTGTGGAGTTGAAGCCCCAGTGGCCTAAAGGCTACAGCCGATTGGGTGCTGCTTATGTGGGTCTCCGAGATTATGATGAAGCAATTTCAGCGTACAAGAAGGGCTTGCAAACCGATCCAAATAATGATGGTCTGAAGTCTGGATTGGCGGATGCAGAGGCAGCCAAGCCCCGAGCTCGGGCTCCTCCTTCGGGGGATTCTCCAATGGGGGGCAGCTCTCCTTTCGGGAACATGTTTGGACCTGACGTATGGGTGAAACTTCAGGGTGATCCACGGACGCGGCCCTACTTGCAGCAGCCTGACTTCGTCGCGATGATCAACGATGCGCAGAAAAATCCAAATAACTTGTCACGTTACATAAATGATCCTCGCATGATGCAAGTGATCGGTGTTCTTTTAGGCGTGAACCTACAGACTGCAGACCCTGGGACCGAGTTTGAAGGTGAGGACGGTCACGACACAGAGGCATCATCGGCTCCAGAGATTCGCATGGACGAGCGGCCACGGAGTGCGACATTAACACAGGCGGCTTCTGCCACTGCCCCCGAGCCGGAGCCGGAGTCGGAACCGATGGAGGTGAATGACGGCGAGAAGGAGAAGAAAATGCGGAAGACTGAGGCTGTGAAGGAGAAAGAGTGTGGGAATGCGGAGTACAAGAAAAAGAATTTCGAAGCGGCTGTGTCGCACTACAGCAAAGCTATAGAACTAGACGGAGAGGATATTTCCTTCATTACCAACCGGGCCGCCGTGTACTTGGAGATGGGCAAGGTGCGTGCTGTGAAACTAGACCTCCTTTATATGATCAGATAATTGACAATTTGTAGAGGCCATTCTTGTTGTAAGCTCTTGGGTTTGTCTGATATATGTGTATGGAATCGTATTGCACTGAGATTGCAATGGCTCTGAGCTTAGGACATAAGAGAACCAGTAAATATATCAATTTGGAAATTTCTACGCATTGGTGCTGCCCGGATCAATTGTTATACCCTGTTAGATAATGCACGGTGTGTTGGGAATTGAATGAGTGCCTGGTAATAGAAAATTTCTGTTGGGTTGTGAGGTCGATAGCCTACATTTGAGATTTTGTAAATTTGGTTGTACAAAACTAACTAAATGAACAAAAGAAATGGAATAACATCGAATCTTACGTATGAAGTAAGAATGGTTCTTGACATAAGAATACTGTGCTTTAATGTCCGAAAGGGTCTTGCACCTGACGTATTTTAGCAAGATACGTGGTTTTTGCAATTAGTGTAACCCAATCTCTAATTCTCCTCTATCCGTTGTCGATTGTACTCTTCTGGCTAGTTGAGAAATCCTTGCTGTGATGACGTTTTATTATTACTCCGTGCTAACACTGTATTGTGCAGTACGAGGAGTGCATTGCGGACTGTGAATTGGCTGTAGAGACTGGAAGGTCATTGCATGCTGATTACAAATTGATTGCGAAGGCTTTGACACGAAAAGGTACAGCCTTGGCAAAGATGGCCAAAACAAGCAAAGACTACGATGCCGCTATCGAAGTTTTCAACAAAGCTCTGACGGAGCATCGTAATCCAGATACTCTGAAGAAGTTGAATGAGGCAGAACGTACCAAGAAGGAATTAGAACAGCAAGAATACTATGATCCAGCTATGGCTGACCAAGAGAGAGAGAAAGGTATGACGTACAGACTGTTTCTGTAGTTTTTTCTTAACAGGTTCTTGCAATTCAATATTCTTACTGTTTTGAGATCCAGTATTTGACGGATTGAACGCCATTTGTTTGCAGGGAATGAGTATTTCAAGAAGGACCAGTATCCTGAGGCTGTCAAGCACTACACAGAGGCAATTAAGAGGAATCCTTCAGACGCGAAGGTAAGGTTTTATGCCAGATTAGAAGTTGCGAGAATTTTTGTAGGTTCTTTAGGTATGTGCCATTCTAACTTATCATGTTCACATATTCTTGTAGCTAAGTTAGTTGTTTATTTTGTTTGGCAGGTTTACAGTAATAGGGCAGCATGCTACACTAAGCTCGGAGCTTTACCAGAGGGCCTGAAAGATGCAAATAAGTGCATCGAATTAGACGAGAAATTTGTGAAGGGGTACTCTAGGAAGGGTGCCATCCAATTTTTCATGAAGGAATACGATAAAGCCTTACAAACATACCAGGTATTACTTCTATCAGCTAATTATTTTAGCTTTCCCTTTACATACTACAGTGGTGGTTCTGTTGTTAGCCTCTTCACAATGGATTTATCGCAGAAACTGTGAAACTTTGGACTTTGAAATGAAGTTGCAATGTTAAGCAGTTGCAAAATCCGCAGTTGCTTTGTTTATTTTGTCCCGTGTTTAGGTTTTGACCTGGAAATGTTATCAAACGGCGTATTCTATATCCCCCCACCCCCCCCCCCCCCGTTTTCTCTCTTATATTTTTAATTCTCACTGTTTTTTGTTTCACGGTGTCAGCTTGGATTGAAGCACAATGAGGGCAACCAGGAGTTGATGGATGGTGTTAGAAGGTATGTAGTTATTACACAATTCTTGATTTCCTACGATTTCGTTTGAAGAAATGGTTAGAGATGTAACGAAGTTCCTTTTACGCACAATTTGCCGATTCGGCATTACATCTTAACAAAGAATATTGTTTTCTCATGTGCAGATGTGTGGACCAAATCAACAAAATGAACAGAGGAGACATTAGCGCTGATGATTTGAAAGAGAAACAGGTCAGCATTCAAGTCGCGGATCGTGTATTGCTTCACCTTGGATTGAATTGTGGCTTCAGTTATTTGACGTTTCTGAGTTATTGACGCATCCCACATATGTCAATTAGATCTAACAGATCTGTGGTTTCCTGGATATAGGCGAGGGCTATGTCAGATCCAGAGATTCAAGGCATCTTGTCGGATCCTGTCATGAGACAGGTATGACGTATTGCGGGGTTGTATTTAGTTTTATTTTTTTACATTGGAACATTTTATTGTTACGTCATTCACTTTTCGGGTAAATCACTATATTATAGAAATAGAAAGTTTCATAGCCTTGAATGCTGCGAATTCATATATTAAAGCGCCTAGCAGATTAACCTACTTCCAGAATATAGTCTCTTTTCGTTATTGATAGTGCCGTTTGTAGCAACTGAAATTAGCTGACAGGTTCAGACAAGGTTTTCAATACTAGCAGCGTGTTCACAAAATCTATTGGTGCGCAGGTACTCACTGATTTCCAGGAGAACCCCAAGGCAGCCCAGGAGCACATGAAGAATCCTATGGTAATGGGCAAAATTCAAAAATTGGTCAGTGCTGGTATTGTACAGGTGCGATAGCTGGGTCTTATGGTGCATAGGAGCGAGTACAATGGACAGATAAGTAAATTCAGGTTTAGTGTTCTATTAGAAGTTTCGAAATGGATACGCTGGTCTATCCTTCCTGTGAAGTCGATTAAGTTTTGAACAGCTCCAACATTAATTCCAAATGGAAGGATTGTTCGAGTTTACTTCCTTGTATTGAAAACTTAGTCTAAACTTCACATGGAGTTTGGTGGCAGTGGGTGAGTTTCGAATCAACTCCAAATTGGATGATATACTACTATTAGCTCCATCCACTCCTGAAGTTCTTGTGGAAAATGAAATCCAATCGGATGTTCTCATTTGGGTTATTGGGTTTGAGAAGTAAGACGGCTTAGGACCACTCAAGTGGAGGTCGACGTTTATTATGGCTGGTCACATCGGGAGTTGCTTGGCTCCAGATCGTAGTAAACAGATTTAACCTGCTGTCAACTTCGACAAAGAAGAAACTTTCGTTTTTCCAAACATCTATCCAAACGCTTTGAAGCTAACAACACTGACTACTCCGGTCAGGTATGGATGCTAGCAGCGTAAAGACAGCTCCTGGGGCACTGTTTATGAAAGTAAAGAACCTATCTCATTTGCTCAGGAGTTTTCGCTCTAATTGATTACTCATTATCGAACATGGTGGACAGGTTCTAATTTCTGGGGCTTCATTGTCTGGGGACAACCTTGTTCTTTCCTTACATTCGGAATATTTGGGATGTTTGTTTGATTAGCATGGAAGAAAAGCCCCTCTCCCCTCTTTACATTTCCTTTCTCTTCTACTTTTCTTTTGTGTAAGGCGAAACGAATTGCCAAAATGTAACAATTGTTTCAATCCATGTGTTGTAAGAGTATGTTTTCCTCATCATCACAAACATGTGCAAAATCCTGTATTATGAAGACAAAACATGAAAATTTCTAATATTACTACTATGCATTTCAATTCCGCAGTAACATTAGATCCATTGAAGCGCCTTGGTGTTGGAGGCAGTAACACTTCATCAAAAGAACTAGAATTATTAGAAGTTTACCAAGCAATGCCTAAAAGCTATCATTAATTTTTAGTGTGATTTATGATGTACATTGATCCTTACTGTCAACATTGACGAAATTCATAATGTATAAATTAATTATTGTTATGTATCCAAGTAAAGTAATGCATTAAAATTTATATTAAAAAAGGTACCTTAAAGGAATGAAACTTGAATTCTATGAAAGCATGGATTGTATCATTTTTGATTGAAGTAAAGTGCTATTGCCTAATAGAATGTATTAAGTGTTACTATAATTAACACTATACTTTCTAAATATAAACATAGGGTAATAATTGTTGTTTTCATTTTTATTTTTACTTCATATGTTTATGGAAGTCACCTGTTTGTGCTCCACCAACATATATTTTCAAAGAATGGTAATGACATTTATATTTCTGATTGACATCTTGAAATAATATTCTTTATTTTGAATTTTGAATTTTTTTTTTTTTATGAAGCACTGTAGTAATGATGTGATTGCTACAAATCTCATTTGAATTCTACACTAAATGCTTTGTCTTCCAATACTTCAACCAACATATTGTTATGTAATGTAAGAGACAAAAAGTAAAGCATGTAAATACACATATTCATGTGTATATATATATATATATATATATATAAGGTAATTTGGATATGAAATAAAGAGACAAAGAAGCACTCTAATTGGTTATGAAAAAGGAATATAGAAAACTTAGGGAACTTGGAGAACTTAGAAAACATAAAGTAGTTGGAACCTTGAGTATTTCCAAGAACCAAGTTATTGGGATTCTAAGAATTCCCAATAACCACTTCTTTGCTTGCTAGATTGATTGCAGCCTCTACATTGAAGTTTTGTGCTTGCCTCTCTTTGCACCCATCATTGCTCTCTATTCATTAGTCAAAATTTATTTCTATCTCTTTTTTGCAAGATTTGAAGCCATCTTCATATTGAATCAAAGAACTGTATTTGGAGACATGATAAAGTTCTAAGATTAGGAAGCAAAAGACAATTTGTGCAAAAAGAGGAAATAGAGATCTTTACATAATTATAAATATTTGATAATAATTTCTCCAAGCAAAAGAATTGGTGGTGGAACAAAACTAAGTCCAAATTGTGAACTGAAAAGTTAATATTCTACCAACTCATATTAATTGATTTGCAAAGGATATTAAGGCTATTGACACCTTGTAGTAATAAAAAAAGTAGAAGTGCTAGGTTATAAAGAGCACATGCTAACAATTGTAAATTGCTTTTAGATGGACTCTAGGGAAGAAGATGGTGCATATGATTAAAGGTTGGATAGATAAGTTTGAAGGATCAAAGGACTTCCTTATCAACATAATTCTAAAAAGTTGTTTGATGGTTTTACTTTGGAAAAGATTTTAAAAAGCTTTGCTGTAGAGTGATGGCAATTAGGTAATAGAATTAAGTTACCTATTTATGTAAATATACGAGTTGGTTTTTTGTGTCAATTTTCTATGTTCTTCAAAAAGAAAGCTAGATAGAATTGCATTAGGAGTGGTTTAGGAATTTATGAAGTCATACATAAAAGTACATGGTTCAAAGTAGAGATTATTGTTCATAGTCTTTTACATTCTATTAAATTAGAGGTGGATGGATCTTTGTGGAATAATATGAGAGTTTCAATGCTTCTAGCAAGTAATTGGAAATCATGAAGGAATTCATAATTGCAGTTGTAGAAGAATTGGGATAAAGAGAAGACACAATAATGGTTGTTGTAGCATATATGTGATCAATCATAGAGATGTTGACACTTATGCAATGTTTTCTTCCATAAGCGTTCACCAATTACTTGAAATACTATGTTGAGAAAGTATGAAGTTTTAGAAGAAGCACAAGTATTGTCAATTTGACTTCAATAAATTGAATATCAAGAGATATACCAACCATCTCTATTGTATTATAGACATGCATTTACAAGTAAGGCAAATTGTCAAAAGAACCAACAATTTGTGTCTCTTACAAGAAGAGAATATTATAAAAATTAGATACATAATCATAAGTAAGGGTGTAATGATCTCTTCTTTTAATTGGAACTTTTTAAAATTTAAGTAACTTATTCAAAATTTCTTTAATGTTGGATTGTAATAAAATTGTGTTAGATTAGTACAAAAAGATGCAACTATTATGGACATTCACCATGGAAAAATTAAAGAGTGGGATTAAGAGCAAAAGAGATGAAAAGAAGTATAGTTTGAAGATATTGAAAATAGACAAGCTTTTTGTGATGGCAACTTACATGGACCTTGTTGCAAAGGATGCAAAACAATACAAGCATTAGATGAGCAAGTTGTACTTCTATAGCAATAACAATGATTGCATTATATTCCACACATTCAAGTATCTCTCAATCCTTGATACTTTTTTCATGGACCTGGATTCCAAGTAGCACCTCTTAGCAAACCTCAAAGTGATTATAGAAGGAAAAACATACCTCAAGAAGGTTATATGGGCATGGAAGTGAAGGTATCTCATGTATTGCCTTTTAGGTACATGCAAAAGCTTTTTTTTTATTGTAATTGTAGTGAATAACTTGAAATACAATATCTATGACCTCAATCTATTAAATAAATTTAAAGAATATATATATATATATATATATATATATATATATATACTATATATGTGATATTTTTTAAACAATGGTAATAAGCAATATAATACCAAAAGATATCTTATTAGTAATATAATATCTTATATTGTGACTTCAATGTACTGAATGAATTCAACAATATGTGCATATTAAAGGTCAAGTTGCCTATCTCATTTGACTTATAGAATCTCCATAACTTTATCTTGAAGATTGTGAAGTACAAAATAATTATGAACATCTCCAATATTATAACATTCTATAGCACATTGCTACCAATGTCAATAGAGATGGCAGCGCATAACTTGAAAGAAATCTAGAACTTCACTAACTCTAAAGTAGGGAGTCACAACAATATTATGGACATGTATATGAAGTACATTGATTCCAAGCTTTTATAGATAAACTTCATTATTGAAGAGCAAACTTGGGTGATTGTTGTTGTGAAGAGCAACAAGAAGATGGATATCTCCAAGCTATTAAAGAGTTTTTGGAGATATTTGGCATGAATCAATCTTTAAAGAAATATGTGATTGAATCTAACAAGATAACCTAGTGAGCAAATAGATAGCAGCAATGTTATAGACATACATAATTATATAAATAAGAAATATTATATAGAAGATAAATGAAGGTAGATTTGATAATATCTTATAGAAAAGCTTCTTAGAAGTTGTTTAGATGTAGATTTGACTTTATACATATTTGTAGTTGATTAGTGGGTTGAAAACTTAGCCAAAAAGTTGGCCATGTAGTGTATATCTTGGCAACTTGTGTTATAAGTTGGCCATGTGGTGCTTATGTAGGAAATTTATCTTGCAAGTTGGACATGTGTCTAAGGTCATATAGAATGTTGTCACATAGTTGCTAATTAAATAGCATATATGGAGGCAAAAATGAAGTCTTTTCACTCTTACCAATACCTTTCTTATTATTAGTCTTATTTCAAGAGTCTCTAATCTTCTTATCTTTAGCAATATCCATTCTAATTTAATATTATATCATCTTTGAGTGATTATCTACTCTTTTTGAATGACACAAGTATATATCGAGGTTTTTATTATTTGTGATTTATATCCTTAACAAGTAATTTGAATATATCTACCAATAATTCTCTACTTGGTTTTTATTTTATAAAAATAGATTTGTAGATTGTTGTGAATGTAAAAAAGTATATGAATAATAAAAGAATATTCTTTATCTAATACTTCTATGTTATAAAATTAATACTTTATAAAATATTAAGTAATAGTTGAAAAGATATTTGGTTGAAGAGGTAATTTTTTTAAAGTGTATTTTTTATTTGTAATGGCCTATTTGACAATATTAATAGAATTATGGTAAATTCTAAAATTGACAATATCAATAGTGATTCTAAGTATATATTTTTTAATACTAAAAAATCTTTGTGCATTCCAAACATGGTTGATTGATTGTAATACAAGCTTTGGAAAATTAGGGTTTAGAGGTGATTCTTTTCCACCTTATATATGATTTCATACATAGATGAGATAAAAAACGTAGTAGAATTAATAGAAACTCTGTGAATGCATATAAACCTATATGAACTTAGAAAATGCACAAAAACTCAGAGGAACTCAAAGAATGCATAGAAATTCATGGAAACTCACAGAACTTATGAAAATGCATTAAAATCTTTAGAAATTTATAAGAACATACAAAAACACACAAAAATACTTTTCTATATCTTATAATATGGGTTTCTAATTCTTAAAATATAATCAAAAAATTTTATTTACAAACTATGAAGATGAAAATACCACTATAAATGTACTTTATTTTGAAGTTCTTTTAATATAGTTATTTAAGTTGTTGTAATGAATAAATATTATATTTTTAACAAAAATAAAAAATGGTTCCATTGTTATATATATATATATATATATATATATATATATATCATGGTCAACATTTCTTTAGGAATAGTCTATTTTTGAATTAATAACCATAAATTAATTTTTCACAATATTTTTGTGGCCAACAACATATGTTTCTATATATATATATATATATATATATATATACTTGTGAAGTTAATTTTTAAATTTAGATAATTCATTTTTATAATTTTCATTTTAATATAAATTTTATGCATGTTTAATTTATATTAACATGAAAATTTAAAATTTCATGAAATTATATTGAACCAAAATTAAAGATAAAATAATGGAAGTAATGGAAGTAGTTTTTGTTAGATACGTTTTGATGAACTTTTAGAAAGAATACAGTCCTACAGTACTCAACACAATGTTTGTATTTGAAATCCTGTGTATCACAAATAAGAAAAATTAGTATTTCATCTTGTTCATATTTTGAATTAAAAAATAATGAGTGGCGTATTTTTATCTTTGAATTCATTTTTTCAAAAAAAATAATTGCTTTCATGTTCTGGAATAGTTAATGCTTTGTACAAGTTAATTGTTCCAGTATCACTGCCACTTTCAAAAAAGTATCAAAAGATTTTTTTTATTATTATTATATTTTAAGGATGACTAAAACAATATTTTATGCATTGCCATCAAAAAAATCATTTGTATTGCACTCCTACTATATATATATATATATATATATAATTGACCATTTAATTCAACATTTATATAAAAATAAATGGTTTTTGTTCATGTTAAGTTTGTTAAAATTACTTTACTTCTATTTAAGTTTGGACTATACATACACATATGTCATTATTTATATTTTTTGTATTAATATTTATTCTTTTATACACCTAATTACTATGCTTGTACCACTATCACTTAAGCCACATACATATGGACATAATTCAAGATTGTTATATATATATATATATATATATATATAATTATTTGTACTTAATTATTGTAATCAATTTTTTTTCTCTCATATTTTTCCTCCACCAAAAGCAAAGATTCTAAACTACTTCTCACAACGTAGATTCTAACTCCTCTGCATAGAAACACTTTGAATTCCAAGATGTTCTTGGTAGTCCATCCTAAACGTCAAAGCCAACAAATACAGCCATTCTCAATGGCTTCACAACAAACATGAGTAAGAAAAACACCAAATGAAGGTTAAAAAATTGGTTGTAAACTGTAGTAATAGAAAAAAGAGTTCGGAAAGCGAAAGAGATTCTTCACATCACATCAAAGGCAAGGGGCCAGGTCCGCATTGGTTTTGAGTTTCATCCAAAGTATACCCCCCATCCAAGTTTGCACGATAATTATTCATCCATAAAGTGGGGGTTGAAAGTTTCGCAGTGCGTGCGGCGATGCCTCGTCTCATCGTCATGCACGCGGCTGTGAAGGCGCGGACCAGAAGAGGAGAAGGAGGCGCGAGGGCGAGTTGCGAGACGCGCGGAATGCGCGGCGGAAGGATGCAGTGGGATCATGGCCGTGGCCATGGCCATGGCTATGGATTCACGCTTCGAGACTACAATCAGAGCGAACATGGTTTGCAGCGAACGCTGCGTTGATAGGGCCCACGCCGTGAGTCGGCCTTTCCCATCCTTTCCGACACCTCAGCCGTCGAACATCGTGTCCAGTGAGATACAGCCCCAGCCGTGTGGTGGTGTGGAAGCCGAGGGCATTGACGCTTAGAAAGTTGCCTTTCGTGAGTGCAATTCCTTGCTGTGGTCCAGATTGAGTTGCCCGCATCTGGGACTTCAACCCCCGTCTCCTTCATCCTCCTGGCGTTCGGTGCCTGGCCGTCTGCCTTACAAACCACGTCGCTCGCGTCGCGGTCCTGGTACCGACTCCCCGATCCTCGTCTTCGGCAGACGGTCTAGTTTGCACACATTTGCCCTTGACAAAACACCCTGGTTCTGGTTTGCTTGCCTTGAGTGGAGCGGGAGACGGCGCCGAGGGAGCGCGGATCCCGGCCGTAAGTTGACGCTGCAGTTGTGGGTTAGTGGGGAGAGTTTTTTTTTTTTGGTATGGCGCTAGATGGCGACGGGGTTGCGCGTGTTCCTGAGTGGGGAGGATAACTAAATTCGATATGGGCATTACAGTTCCTGGCACCAGCTGGGTAGGGGAAAATTCCGCGTGTTGGGTTCGGGTGTGTGGCCAGGCTTCAGTGTGATACCGGCAAGAGGCTCTTTTTTCTCCGTCACTCGCGTTAATTTTTAGTTTTTTAGATTTGATTTTATTGTGTTTTTAATACTTTTGTTGCGGAGAGGTGGCTTGTTGAGCAAGCTGTGTCTTTTCTCGTACAGGTATCCGTCATCTGCTTTGTCCATAGCGTTGCTCCCGGTCTATTTTAGGGTTGGAGTATTTGTCCACAGGATTGAGGGGGAGACGGAGAGAGTGAGAGACTCGGTGTTTTTTGAGTTAGAGTCAATATGTTCAGCGTAGTGTCACCTGTGGAGATCGGATTTTGCGATTTTTGCTTCAGCAGGCGTGTGGCGGGAATTCCTTTGTGGGCGAACTTGCTATGAGAAGACGTGACCTGCTCACTAGAAGATTATCTGTAAGAGTATTGCGGTGATCGGTAGTTGTATGGGTTAGTACGGGATCGTGATTAGAAATGGGTAGCGAGACACCTTGGCCCTCAGTTGAAACGCATGATAATGCAGGGAAACTTGCGCTGGCAGCCGGCATAGCTTCTGCAAACCCTGCACCACAAATGGATGCTCCCCCTCAGAGCTCTGGGCCTCCGCCCTTTCTCATCAAGACTTATGAAATGGTCGAAGTTTCTGCTACGGATGCCATTGTGTCGTGGAGTGAGGTCGGCAACAGCTTTGTCGTTTGGAATCCTCCGGAATTTGCACAGGATTTGTTGCCCAAGTACTTCAAGCACAACAATTTTTCCAGCTTCGTCCGGCAGCTCAACACTTACGTAAGTCACTGTATTCTCGCTTCTTCACCTCACTTTTCTTCGATGGGACTGGTATTGGCATTGGCGTTAAGCTGGGCTGCAGGAGCAGTTGGACGTACTCTTTCATGATTAGCTCAAGTTTTTGTGCTATATTCTCCTCAAGTTTGCACTTTTTGGCCTAGCATAGTGAACAGCTTCTGTTAATTTGGGGATAGTCTAGCTTAGAGCATCGAGAAGCTTCGATCACTTTTAGTTGCGTAACACGTTCGGCTGTAGGTTCTTAGCGCAATGTCGTTATACCTCTTACGCTCCAAGTTCCTCAGCTATTGCTGGTTAGTAAGCATCCACAGTTAGTTTGGCATAATCAGGATTCGTCAGACGAGAACTTGAAACCTTATCAACTATCATACACTGCTTCCTGTCGCATCTGCGTGAAAGTTCCTTTTCTTTTCGATTCATTTATGATCCCTTGAAAGTAGTATCACGTTGTAAAGCACTGAACATATGAAAATTGGCCAACCTGCCATGCCTACCAATGATTAAGGTAAGACTCCAGATTTCTCTGTGTGAAGTTTTATCTTGATCAAAGTTTAAACTGAATGTTACTCTGATTTGTTGTCTCAATTTTCATACAGCAGCGCTTGCCTTTATCATCGGCTTGTTTTTCACTGAAAGGTTTTCCCCTCGCGAGAGTGACGTGGTTCTATTTCTGTGGGTGGTCCCAAATTACTGGTCCTGCTTACCTTTTCCGGACTTGGGCAGTTCTGCCAATGTTTTATTTAGTGGTCGGTCCAAGTTATTTGACCTTCTTTTATCCTGATATATTCTGGCTGTGGTTTGCCGAAGTTTGACATATTCGTGAGATCGTGAATTATATCATCTGAGGGAGCTCATACTGCGCCAAGAAGTCATGCATCTACCTCATGAACACTGGCCTCCCTTCTTATTTGACGCATTGATTCGTCATGTAGCAGGTCTTGAGGTTTCCAACCGAAGATGAAATTGGGTTCATAGCAAGGTAGATCTAGGCAAAATCATTCTGCACATTTGTGAAGGGTAGCACTTTGAAGAATATCAGTAAGTTCACTTTTGGAATTAACACGATACCAAGAATCCAGAGCCTGTCATGTCACTGTCTTATTGATCTTCTATGATTGTACTTTTGTAATGCATTACTCTCATCATAATATCTCGTTGTTGACACTGGTTCATTCTTAAAACCTTCAACTGAGCGCCTCGCTGTCTTACTCAAGCTTTCCTAATATTCTCAATTCACATGTTGGCAATTGAGCGTCTCTTTTTGTTCCCCCCTCCCCCACCCACTTTGTTTCGATACGATCTCATAAAGTTAAGATGTCGGCTGCCGTCAGCTGCAAACATATTTTTAACCTACCATTTTAAGGTTTCTTCACTGTACGTGCTTTTTAGAGGTTATTTAGATCACGCTTATATCTTTGAAGCTTCTTCGCCCTTCTGACGCTGATTCATGGGTATAAGGTACTCTATAGAGCCCCGATTTTAAGTGTTTTGATCACAGTGTACATGTTATTGTGAAGTTTAGAATCGGTTGCTATGGAAGTACGAGGATGTGTGGACAGAAGTTTAAGTCCGGATTTTCTCATCATCGTGACCTTACACTGGATACTTTACAATATGATCGGATTATGTTTCTTTGCTAACGACAATGGTTTGTTCCTACAGGGTTTCCGTAAAGTTGACCCGGATCGCTGGGAGTTTGCCAATGAAGGGTTTATGCGTGGAAAGCGAGACATGCTTAGGAGCATTCGTCGTAGGAAGCCTGCAGTTCACACACAGCAGCAGCAAGGTTCATGTGTGGAAGTCGGAAAGCTTGGACTCGAAGGGGAGATCGAGCGGCTGAAAAGAGATAAAAACGTTCTGATGTTGGAGCTGGTTAGGCTGCGACAGCAGCAGCAGAGCACCGAGAGGGAGCTTCAGGTATACTGTCGTGTCGTCTGGTGATGTCTCGTTATTATGCAGCTTAATCCTGTACGCAGCTAATGCTGGAGTATGTCAGGATTCAATTGGAATGATCACAAATTGGTCCATAACCCAGTCGGTATCAGTTCTGAGCTGGGATTTGACCCCAATTCCGTATCAATCTGATTTTCTGCTTATTTGCTGTTCGACGGTGCAGGTCATGACCCAGCGTTTCCATGTGTCGGAGCATCGGCAACAAAGAATGATTAGCTTTCTTACGAAAGCCATGCAAAACCCTTCTTTCTTTGCTCAATTTGTGTCGCAGCAAAACGAAAACAACCAAGTGGTGCGTAAGAAACGACGACTTCCAATCCACGAGTATGGCGACATGCATGAATCCATGAGCCCGGAGTCATCCATTGAAAACCAGATGGTTGCCTTCCAGCCCTCTGAACTTGGAGAAGCTGGAGCACGTGCTAGGGTTATTGAGATGTTTCGCTCTTCTGATTCTCAGCCCGCTACTGAGAGCAGTCGCTTTGAGGGTCTGGTTCGGGAGGCTGACACTTCTCCCAACAGTGGAGATAGCAACATGTTGAATCGACAACCCAGAGCCACTCTTGAACTTAATACCAAACTTTCGGGTATTTTCTCTAGTGCGCCTATTGTGACTGATGTGAGCGCAAATGAATCACTGGAGGCGCCACCCACATCTCCTCAAACCTTCGACATGGCAAGAGTATTAAGTGAGTCGAAATCGCTCGAGCTGTATCTTTTTCGAGTCTCGAGTCTCGAGTCTCGTAGGTCTCGTGTCTTGTTTGACGCATGCAATTTGAGGTCTGCACGCTCATACCTTTCCCAGTTATTGCCGCAAGGTGGACAGCTCCCTTGTGACGATGGCTATAGTTAATACGAGCCTGTTTCATTACTCTCCACTAATGCAACAAATCGCTTTGCTAAACGTTGCAGGCGGCAGTAGATCTGAACGGCGTGACAGTGGTGATTCTCATGAACCGGAAGGGAACAGAGGCACGGCGACCCATGAAGCAGAGGTGCAGAGCGCACGCACAGACACAGCTGCGCACAATTCTGGTTTCTGGGAGCAATTTCTGACAGAAGACCCCCAACCTGTCACCCGTGCCGAAATCGATCTTGAGCGTGAGCCAGAATCAGAGACAGAGGATACGCCGCAGGATGACGAGAATGCGCTGCAAAATAGTTTTGATAGACCATGCGTGGAATTCTTATCTCATCAAATGGGACAACTAGCACCTGGGTAGGTGATCTTGGAAAGGATGCCGACAGCGAAGCTGCAATCATCTGATGCAGGTTCTCAGTTGAGGGGATTGTTGTCCAGTGCTGTTGTAGCTTCTTCCTTAGACTAAACACTTGGAGAGTAGCTCCGCTTCCTAATTCTCCTTCTCCATATGTGCTCTTCAGTCTGCGCCATTAGCTTGGGTCCTCATACTGATTCTGAGCTCTGCACAGCCCACCTAATGCTCATCATGAAGCCATCCATATATATACATATGTATAGGTGTACATATGATGATGAGAGTAATAAGCATCTTTGATATGAATCTTCAAATCGTTACCTATCTCTGGATCTTTGCCGGAGGAAGCAAACAAACTAGCACAGAATGTTATTTCTACATGGAACAAAATTCTGGGCAATGGGCGAGGAGTAGCAGCAAAGAGGTCTGACTGTTTACGGAAAACCCGGCAACTGATCAGGTGTTTCATTAAAAAGCCTCTTTTCCTAGGCTGTGCACTAAAATTGTCCAACCGTAATGGTAACAATCATTACTACGACATGCTGAGACCTGCACTTGCGTTGACAACTGACATATAGATAGACCTGAATAGATAAATGTGCACATGTAGACACCGCAGATCCTCGCCTTGCACGTTGCCTGCTTTGCTGGATTGCGAATATTTGTCAGTCAGTTATCTAAAAAGTGTCATGCACGCCCTCATCAGCTGTGTGAAGACCCCTTGTTTTTAGTTCTAAATGTATGTTCGGACATTTCACTTCGTAGATAAGAATCTTGCAAGGGGTAAATCTGTTAACGAAGTCGTGTAAACTAACTAACAAAATGAAGGCTGTATTATATCTAAGAGTCATGTCGCAACATTGTATCCCATTCTCATGCAAATGCTGGGATTAGGCGAATGTCGACCTCTCAAGTCACCGCTTGAACTGTTCTTCAGATTTAGACTACCCTCTAAGAAATAATCTCTGGAAGTAATACCGGATAGGATTACTAATAGCCTACAAGTGTCGTTGGAGGCGAGTTGTTCGCCTGGTAGAGCGGAAATCATATCTGCGTTACGGAGAGTTCTTCAGTCTTTTGATTCATTCTGCAGTAGTTCCAACATTGCGCTGTGGGCTCCAGCCCATGGATTCACTAGATTCTTGACTCAAGTTGCACCTCCAACCCCGAATTATAGGATTTGGACAACTCCACATACTACTGAAAGTCAAATCGGAATGGATTCGTCTGTGGCATAAAACCTCTTGAAAACAGACTTCTTTGCTTACTGCACGAATCTCGCGGTCTTGATACACGATAAATGTCAGAAAGAACATGCTCATGTACTCAGAACCACGTAAAATAGAGACAGAGTCTGGTAATTCCCGTCAATTGCTATTCGATTCGCAATTTACCACCCTTTCAATTGAATTTCCTTGTTAAGCACAGATCAGTTGGACATTATTAATTACTCTTTGCATAATCCGCCACACTATTACCACAATAAGAAGCTCAAAAGCACACACAAGTCAATAAATATGAGATGCAAATTTAGGAGTATCTCCGACTAAAATGCTGACTTTAAAACATAGCAATAAGTACTTATTGGGTTTAGCATCTAACTTGTTCCTGGAAATACGTCTCTGGTGCTGCACTGATTGTGGAGGACTGCAGTCTCATGGGCTCAACATCATCTTTCGATGGCACTCGCAAGCTGAACGAAAGATTTCGCTTGACCAGGGAAGACGTTCTCATCACTATATGCACAGGTGCTGCTGCATACTTGTCAAGGGCAACACTAAGAATGTAATGAAGGGCAAATTCATCAGAAGGCAAAGCTATTTTAACTGAGCTGTTCTTATGTGTTGTAATCCACTTACATAATGAAGACAAAAAGGTTAGTATGAAGAATGTAGAGTGTGTTTCACCTATTAAATAAGCCGAACTTCACAAGGTAGTCAGCCTGCTGCGGTTCCCATCTTGGCAACAAGCCCCTGCGGAAGTACTAACTCTGTAGAAGTAGCCTTGTTCCTGCTCAACAAACCATTTTTCTGTACTCTTGTGATGAAACTTTGGATCAGTGTAGCACCAAGTTTTACAACTAAAGGAACAGTTCCCAAGAGAGAGTTGACATTGTGGATTGTGATCAAGGGCGATGTGGTGATGCATTGATGGTGGAGGAGGTACCCTGCGCTGTTGGACGTCGTCAAGATCGACAAAAGAATTCTCGATTAATGCATCCCGTCGTGCTGGGGTCTTTGTAGTCCTTGGAATCCTCGGTGTCTGTCACTTTCCAATCCAGAAAACGTCTGAGCATTGTTATCTCACAACACCTTTGGAGCAATAAGGCTAAAACGACGTCAATGAGGCCATAACAGATGTTCATAAGAGAACAGGCTGCAATGCTCAAATCATGTGACAAGGGTCACTAACGATTTAATCCTTCCCGAGGATTTCTATGAATTGTTGCGAATATACTACCTGCTCAACAATGTGTTCATTCTTAGATATTAATTGGTGAAAGAAATTTGCTCTTACCGCACTGTTACAATAACATTGATCTCAAAGAGATCCTGCGAGACTTGACCCTTGTCACATGATTTGGTATGTGAAAACGGATCATTTCCTTACCTGACGTAGGCTCGCCGATAGACAACTCGAGAGGAACAGGTTCATGACCTCGAGATGGTGATTCTTTGCCTTCAGATGCCTGGCGGCGCGGTTCTCAAGTCCGATTCTGCCATTTACCGACTTCAGGTTTTTCACAACCTGTTGCAGCCGGCGTACTTCAGCTGCATACACACTCCTTTCCACCTCGAGTTCCTGCTTAACCATAAAGCATGAGAATGTTACTAAAGTTGATCATACTCTAACCTGTTTCGTACACTCAATGGTTGAAAACAACCTAAATGTTGGCTCTCGTCCATTAAAGATAAACAACGCACGAAATGTAGGATAATGAAAAGCCTACCCATAGATGGTTTTTCGTCTAGCTATACTACTGACGGGAGTGGATCTAGAATGTAAACCTGCAGAGCATTGAAACCCAACCTTTGCCAGCACGAATTTTGTAGCACAACATCTAGTTCTAGTTTACCTTCCTCAGATCATGAACATATACTGTCGGTGTGAGAGCACAAGAGGTTTGAGGTTACACGAGCGTGAGTGAGGCGGACATCTCTTCGCAGCTCGTCCAGTTCAATGGCTTGCGACTCGCATGTGTTGTACGCTTCCTCTAACATGCCCTTCAGACCTGAGAAAAAAATATCTTATGATTACAACAACAAATAGGGTTAAACTTCCAAATTCTGGGAAAGTCGGTAACAGAAATCACTTCAATTATACCAGAAGAGGTCTCTACTCCTTAACATTCGATGTCGTCATTCAGGTGAGAAAACTAGAATCAGGAATGCAGCTATGGGCTTTGCATCAATATCATTTTGACATACTAGTCGTCCTTCAGCAAAGGGAGTTCCAGTTCGTTTAGCTTCTACACCTGCAATTTTGGCACGCAGTCTGCGGGGACTCCCCATGAATGGACCTTCTAGATTTGAAATCACTTCAAGCGCCTCAATATCTTTCGCAAGTTTTCTACGAAGTTGGCAAAATGGAAGCCCATGTTAATACTACGATGAACTTTTTTTTTGGAGAGATCGCTCAATTTAGGCGACTTCAGGCAACAGGAAAACGCTCAGATTAGCCCTACACATTTCTGAAGAAGTCTAGGTCATACGTGACCTCCGTAATGACGCTTCCTTAAGGAGACTTGCAATATTGTTCAAGTTTTAAATTATGCAACAGAGTCTCCTCTAAAGAAGGCAGGGACTGTGAATTCCTACACACCATGCCTGCATCGACTTTTCCATCGAGACCAACCTTGGACCACACAAGGTTCAGAGGACAACGACATACGCCTAAAACTGAATCGTCTAATCGTGCAAAGTAAATATCTGTTCTAATTTCTCTGAAACAATTCGTAGCAGTTCCAGGTTTACCTGCTCTCGGCCTCAACATTCGCTGCATGTACTTTCTGTCTTCGAAGCTCCATTTCCTTTTCGAGCAGTGCTCTCTTCATTTGCAGAATCTCATCCTCCATCGAATCCTGATCCTGACGGGAGAGGTTGCATGGAACCTCCCGTGGTTTAAGCATGACAGTGGGAACGACCCTTGACTTTGTGTCAGTCGCGATTGCAACATTTGAGGCTAGTCCAGATGGCAAACGGCTATGGCAATTCTCAGGGGTGGCGCCGGTAGAGTTGTGGGAGTTCCATGGCTCCACCATCCGAAAATTTACAGCTGTGGTTGAGGATGGCGTGCAGAGATATGAGCTGTTTGTAATCTTCCTTTCACTACCAAAATCCTTCGTGTACACACTAGTCCGGTCATCACTCTCTCCTGTGGCCGATGTGCAGACAGGTTCAGGTGCCGTAGCTCAACATCTGGTATCCAGCTACTTCACGCTTTATGGTGTCGACGTTTGAGTCTCCTTCATTGTGGTGGTCACCACAAGGCATTCTAAAAACTGCATAAAAAAGCTGATACCTAGCGTCTCTCAACAATATCCAAACCATCAAAAACTTCGTGTAAACCCCCTAGGCCGCAGATGTTCAACAGCTACGTGTCACGGACCGTAAAGTTAGCGAAATTGCTCCATAAGAGATGTAATTTTTCTGAGGTTCCTAACCATAAAAAATTCTACAGAGAGCGACTCCGCGGCTATTCATTGATGCGCGAAATTCTTTCATAAACCTACAATCACTCTCTGCGTCCCGCTTTCTGTTCCATTTTAACAGTACTAAACTAGTGGCTAATTCGCAATAGAGTCCCTGAACATCTTAGCAACGACGAAAACAAATCTGCCGCAACCTGAAATTGCCTTGTGAATCCAGTACATACTTCTGACTTTACAACTTGCATAGTTCAAAGCAGCTTGCACATCACACCATCTGCACGGAAAGATCCACAAACCGTGGAGGACTACGGAGAGATTCCGACATCACAGAATCCATAAAACTGCACTCACAAATCCCGAAACAACCTCAAACAACTCACGGCGCTGTCAACCTTATGCCAACCTTCAGCGGGCGCAATAAACCACCACTCAGAATAGAGCCACATAGATTCAAGAGTGTCGTTGAGCAAGAGGTCAAGAGAGTAGTGAAAAGCAGCCTGACGTTAAATTTCTGAAACACCTGGGAATACGCTGCGGCGCGTCCAGTATGCCCGCTTGCTCGTCCTCCATGCCTTCTTCCCTGCGCGAAGATGCACAAGCGAGGCGTATGGGATGAGGGGGCGAAGCGTAAAGCGAAGGAACGAGGCAACAAGCCAGCCGGAGTGATGAAGCAGTTCTTCACATGAAGATGAAATGAGAATGAAGTGAAGGGAAGGGAAGGGGAAGGCATGAAGGACGAGCAAGTAGGGGAATGACACAAGCGTAACTGCATGCCAACTGACGGCAGTTGGTTTCTGCCCTTTTCTCTTCGTTAACCAAGTGGTGCTCCGATTAAAAAGCCATCGTATCGTGACTTCACCGACACTCGACTTTTCGGTAAAGTCGTCGTCGTCGTCGGTGTCTCGTCGCTGGTAGGTTTGTGAACTTAGTTTGACTCTCTTACAAGAATTATTATGAAGCAATAATCAAGTGTATCATTATGTTCTATTTGAGAAATATGTGCTTCATTCTGAATTCGAAGATAACAACCAGGTCCAGTGTTACCTCTATAGATTTTTGAAGTTCAGATAAATTCTCTGTTTAAATCATTTCTATATTTAAACAAAGTAAACAATTTTATAGACAAGCATTTTGATATTTTAAGAAATGAAGGAAAATCATGTAATTTTTTTAAAAAAACGTAAGACAACATCAAGAGTCTTTGACAAGACAACATCAACAGTCAGGGGTAACAAATTAAATGAAAGGGTTGTGAGCTGAATCGTTTGAACAGTTTGTATTCAATATATGTATATATATTTATATTTATATACACACTAAAAACTACCTTTAAATTATTTCTAAACTAGTTTTATTTTATTATTATCTTTCAAATTTTAAATTAAGTAAAATTTAAAAATGTAAATATCGAACTTCAAAGGTTCAAAAATAGAAATATAAACAAATCTAAGTTCTATCTAATATACTTTATTTATTTTTACATATGGTATACTTTATAATTTAATATCAGTAAATTAAAGCATTTTATTTTAGAAATTCATTTTATAAATATTTTAGATTATTATGTTAAAGGAAAACATCATACATACCCCTGAAATTTGCCAGAATATCAAATCTACCCCTCCCTTTTGTGATAATTGCAAATTTGCACTTCAACCTAATAATCTATTTATTTCCTGTTTTTTTTTTAGTTTGAACTGGGGCACAAAGCGCGTGCCGCAGAGATTTCGGCGCGGCACTTTGCCTCACATGTTAGGCACCTCACAACATGGACACGGCCGAGTATTGTGACAGAAAACAGATGTATAAACACCCTGCAGCAGCGGTTTAACCAACAATTTGTTGACTTCACTTCACTGTTTCTTATTCTGGATACCTAAACAGAAGATGGATTGCCCAACTTTATACGCTGCCTTAAGAACTTGCCACTAAAGCTCAAGGCAGTCGTCGAGCTTGCCCACCGAGAAGAAATCAACAAACGTGCACACTTCGTTTAGCGTATAATCGATCATCAGACGGCGGAAAATTTTCGCTGATTTGTCGCAGGCGCATTGCATTGCCTGCTCTGGTAGGCGTATGCCAGCATCCCCATGAGAGCGCCGTTTGTGGGACCAGTCATGTACACCCACAGGGAGTGATAATTCCCTGAGGCTATAGCTGGACCCAGCGAGGTCGCCCCCGATATGGACCTGTCACATAACATAGATTCATTCATGATGTTGGCGTCGGTAAATTTTATAGCGAATTTGTGCTGTAGAAGTAGACTCAATCCATCCTAATAGTTGGTTTAGTTACAGAACAGTGCTTGAAGCTGACTGCAGAAGAGTGTTGACGTACCCTGCCATGAGAGCGCACAAGGCAACCGCTGAACCAACTGCGATTTCAGCTAATTCTCCACACTGAAATTGTGACAAAGAGCAGCTATGTGTTATCTTCAAGTTCTCATCATCGTGAGCCGAGTGCATTGCGACCCCTGACCCCCCCCCCCCCCCTGCAAATGTCTGACTAACAAATCCTGATGTAGCTGAGACAACAAACCTATAGTCAGCGCCACCTTGCGAAACATTGGTTCATCACCTTCGCATCGCAATAGAACCGCGTGGTGCACCTGATTGGAAGAAATTAGGTTGCCACGAAAACGAGGTACTGTAATTTGTGCTACAAATACTGCCGACTGAGAAGATTCATGTCTTCACATCACACGATATCCCTTGCACCAGAATCTGGTATCATTCTACAGCCTCTACACTAAGCAGAAGCTTCCCAAGACAAATCCAAGTGTTCACAAACTTTACAAGCCGCAGCCCACGCTCTGTTGCGCCTCGTATGGGGAGCAATTCGACCCTGGTTTGTGATCGTGTGAGTTTTGTCGTGTTTCTCATGCATCAGGGGATCTTGTCTGACCGACCTCCTGCGCTGAGGAAGTATGCAAAAGAATTCGGTCTAACACGAGCAGCATACACGGTATGTATGATATTTTCCCTAATGTTAATCACATAAATCACAAAATTATAAGATAAGTCAAATTCATATACTTCACTATGTTCCAATCTAACCAGAATCAAAACATTAAAATTAAAAGAAAAAAAAAATGATTTGTCAGTTAGATATTTGCACTAATTTATTTTATTATATCATACAAACATTTCATCAAAAAGAAAATTTTAAAATTTTAAAATCAAAAAATGAATATAATCTTTTATTAATTATAGATTTTTTTTATTTTTATTTTTTTTTAAGGGTCTAGGTAGATTATCTTTATACCTAAAAAAGAAACTACCATCAAACTCAAGCTTTTTCATAATCCCTTAGTTGTGACTTTTAAAAGAACAGAATTGATTATATTAGGATGACATATAAAGCAATATAGAAGAGTATCAATGGTTTGGTAAAGAAGATTAATGCATCAAACATCAAACACATCATCTTGAAGCTATTTGGTGAGAAGAAGAGAATTATTTGTAAAGTCATACATAAAGTTTTATATAGCCTCTTCCAAGTTTATTTACAATATTGCAATTCTAATTGTAGAGGTTAATTAAAAAAATTGGATTTAGGTGGGTTATTGTTAAAAACATTTATCTTGCAATTAAAATTCTAGTACTTCATTCCTTACTCTACTTTTCAAAATTCCACCAATTATACCATTGATGTAGCAATTGATTTTGTGAAGAAATATTGTTTGGTGATGAGAATGACAAGGATAAATATGAAAAAAGATGACAAAGAAAGGATATCACATATGATTGATTTTTATAAAAAAAAATAGTGATTTTTATAAAAAAATAAAATATAATTAGTGAACTTGTGGTAAACTTCTATTTTGATTTGATGTCTAGTATAAACTTTGACAAATCTAGGTACTAGCTTCTTAGAATTAAATTAGAAATGGGACAAAAGATAAAACTTTGTATAATACTATTAAAGTGTTATAGTTAAGAAACAATTTATTTGTAATATTATAGTCTTTATAGATTGTGGTATAGCAACATCAAATATATTTATTAAGAATAATTTGATATCTATTTTTTAAATTAATAGTTTATAATTCATTGCTTTGAAATAATATTTTTTTTTGTAATATTGCAAAGTTCTTGTTCAATTGTTGGACATAGATGCACTTCTTTAATAAACCTTAATCTATACCAAACCTACAAAAAAAGATATATTTTTTTCATTTTGTAACTTTATTAAGATCATTTTCTTAGAGCTATTAAAATACTTGAAATTGTAGACATTAAACAAAAAATTGAGTCGTATTCCAATGCAAGATCCTTTCAATAAAATATTTAAGTAAATAATCCAAAGAATATGTAATTTACCAACAACCTATGTATTTCTATTATTTGGGTGGTCTTATAGACAATTTACATAAGTAAATTACAAACATAACACATATAATCATAAATAAATACATGCTTTATGTAGACAAAAAACCTTATTAAAAAAATATTAAAGACATAGATTTTATATATAGTGTGAGAAAATAGTTGTTAAATGTTAATATGCTAGGGGAGTCTAAATTTAACGTTGTAAAAAGCCATTTGTATATATTATATTACCATTTTTATCTTTGAATTTTCATTTGAATAAATTTTGTTTTTATTGTACTTAACACATACATAAACTTGATACATTAATTGCATTAATAAATAAAAATAAAAATAAAAAACATTATGTATCTATCCATTATTAAGATGGTATTGATATCCATGACTCACATGTAAAAGAGTCAATATACATTCAAATTAGAAGGAAAAAAAAAAAGAAAAAAAAAAAAGAAAGAAGTGTGAACAGAACATAAAATAAAATTTATAGCTGAAAGAATTAGAAATAATTTATTTATTTACTTTTTTTTTTGCACTTTATCACTACCCTCTAAAATTGTGAATGTTAAGAAATTTTTTACTTACATACTCTGATTATTATTATTATTTTCATTAAATTTCAATTTTTAAAAAATCTGTTTTACATCTTAATTACAATTGGTCCAAATATTACATAATATCACCAAATCATTGGTTAAAAAAAAGTTAGAAAACCACAATGCTTTATAATATATTTACTTAAAATACATTTAAATCATATTAGAGTAAGGTAAAAAAAACATGCGAAAAACAATGAGAGTAAATTCACTTAATCTTTGCTCTAACGTCTCAACAAAGAATAACACCTACCACACCAGTTTCAATTAAAATAACACTAACAAAAACATAAACAAGATCTATTTCATGTAAAGTAACATGAGAATATTCTATTCCACACCATATTCTACACACACATACACTTAAATATTGTTGTGTAAGATAGCACCACAATAACGGGTCAGTTACAAAAATAACCAACAGAAGAAGAAGAAGAAGAAGAAGAAGCACAGGGAAGGTGAGGTTGATTCGCGTATCTAGTTACGCATCTAAAAATCCACTTCCGATGACACAAGAAAGAAATGAGAAAGCTGGCAAGGGAAGGGAATGGAATCGAAAGGGGGGCGCCGGAAGGAGAGTCCCGGTCCCACAGGATCTATGGACGAGCAGCAGACACAGGAGGAAGAAGAAGGGGAGACGGAGGAGGAGCGGCATCGGAATCGGGAGCGCCGTTCCCATGGCCAAGGCCAGAGCCGGAGGCGCAGCAAGGATCGGACGGTGGCGAGCGAAAAGGGAGCTCTCTATGTCGGGGGTTGTTGTGGTATGGAGTGGGAGACTAGGTCGCTTGGGGTGGGATATTAGGGTGGTGGAGTAGAGCCTGGCGAGCGATGAGCCTGGGAGACCGGGAGGAGGGTGATCGGTAGCCTCGACTCGACTCGACTAGACTAGGCTGGGGTGGAGTAGTAATGCCTGGGGACGGTGCCTACATGGGTGCGAGAGAGAGACGACTTCGCAGAGATCTGGACGAGAAGGTGACAAGGGGTTCGAGAATCGGGGATTTGAGAGAGCGAGTATGGCGTTAGTGTAGGGAGAGGGGAGGTTTGCGGAAGGTGTGCAGGTTGGGGAGAGGAGGAGAAGGAAGGGAGAGGAGAAGGAAGGGAGTGGAGGAGAAGGGAGAGGAAGAGAGGGTAGACGACGACTAAGACGACGACGTCAGGAGTGAGCCGCTGGCGTTTGCGGGAGGGGTGGTGGTGGGAGTGGTGGAGGGCAGGATGGAGCGGCTGGCGCACCCCGAGGGCTTCTCCCCCGCGGGGCTCAAGGTGCTGGTCGTCGATGACGACAACGTGATTCTGAAAATTCTCGAGCGCATGCTGCGTGAATGCAAGTACGCGGGTGAGTTGAGGTTTTCCCTCCCCCCCCCGATATTCGTTTCCTTAGGTCGGGGGAGCTTGTTGAGGGAGTGGAGGGGAGGAGGTGTTGTGTTGGGAAGTGCTCGTTGGGGTCAGGGGAGGACGGGGAGGTGAAGTGTGGATTTTATCTAGCCTGGAATGGGCTGCAACTTCAGCTGAGAGAGATGCCGCGGTCTGGTTTGTGGTTGAGCATGGAATTCTGGAAGTTCGATCAGTGTGGGAGCTGGCCGGGCGGAAGAATTACATTGTGGTGGGGTGGGGGTGGGGGTAAAGTGAGGGTTCCTAGACATTTTCAGGGTTGCGATTTTTGTAATTTTTTTCTTTTATTTTCCCCTGTCTTTGCTCACCTGGTGGATTTTGCGTTGGGAAATGTGCCTACGATCTTCATGGGAGTAGAGTATGAACTTCTGTGTTTCTGGTTGCTGAAAATATGCTCCGTTCAGTGGTTAAATATTTTAGTGGTGTATATTGTATGTCGTCTGTTATAATTTTTTCTTCTTTTTATTTAAAGAAAAGACTTATCCAGGTTGTTAAATTTAAAATGTTTCATTTAGATCCGTTTTCACTCTTGGAGATCAGGTTTCTCAGATATCATAAGTTCCTCAACTTTGTGGTGTCTAAACGTTATGATACGTGCAAATTATTCTGTTTTTTCGAGTATGGTGAAAGTATCGCATGGAACATTAGTGTGTTGGAGTTATGAAGTGAGTTCTGATATTTCCTCGACCTTACTTGTGATTGATTCCGCTTGACGCGGTTCAAGTCAGGGTTGGGAATTGCTGCTCATCCATATTGAGTATACTTTTTTTGTTACTTTCAACGGTACGCAAGATTTCACTCATCAAAATGATCAGAATGAAATATATGTTTTTGCGAAAGCTTTGGAAATGAAACCTTGACACTAGCGCTACTTCCAATGTGTGTCGATACACCGTTGATCTATTATTGATCATTCTACGTCTGATCTCAAGAGATATTGGATTTTTAATTGTTTAGTAAGCATCCATAACTATATGGGTTGTTTGCATGTCTCATTCTCAATTCTCGAGAATTCGTTTGGTGAGCTATCCATTTCATCTATGCCATTTTTATTTTCCTTATTTTCATATTCATTTACGTACCTCCAAGTCTGCTTTATATAGTAATGAAAGTAAAGAGGCGATACGTATTGTTCTTTGAGTGATCAAACACGGATCGAATTGTAGGTGTTCATTCTTGAGGTAATGCAACTGAGTAGGGCTGTTTAAGTAATTTACGTGACCTTGTCATAATTTAAATGTCTTTGCAGTGTGGTAGTTGGAATGTCCACTTTGACAATGGCATCTATGAAGTTCGAGTTTGAGTTTAAACGTGAATTTGGGTTAACTTTTAAGTTCAATCCTTCTATCGGTTCCTTGTGCCTTTCTCTGGAAGTGTGGACATTATAATCTTTTCCTGGTTGATTTTCTATTGGTACATGCCATAATAATTTCGTGGAGTCCAGCTTCCCTTTTATTTAATAAGGCAGCGGGATCAAGTTTTTCTTTTTTTGGTATGCTTGAGTCGTGCGAAGTTGCGATCTGCCCGCATTTAGTTGGATATTCATGTAGTTTGAACATACACTTTTATGTTCGTTCAAAACTTGAAAAGCGATTTCGAGCGACTGAATTAAACATAAGAATAAGTTACATATTGTGTCCTTTTGCTCGCCTTGATTTCGTTGAAATCCTACACAAGTAGGGTGTATATTTGAATGGATCTGTTTACAGTGTTATGTCAACTATATCTCTGTGCGAATCATCATAATCCTGTTTCAGATCCACAATTTTAGATGATTCCACCAACATACAACCCTGATACATATGTTTGGTGGCTGTTTTTTGGGTGCCGCAGTAACCACATGTAATAGTGCTACGAAGGCTCTCGCAATGCTACGAGAGAATCGTAGTTACTTTGATCTGGTTATCAGTGATGTATACATGCCAGACATGGACGGCTTTAAGCTCCTTGAAGCGATTGGGCTGGAGTTGGATTTGCCTGTAATAAGTAAGTGAGGATACCGTACGGTTCCGCTTGTGTTTTGTTGATTAGCTGCTGTGGTTTATAGTAATCCTAAGATCTCTCTAGGGTACGATGTAAGTTTTTAAAATTTTATTTTAATTAATGCTAATCCCATACTAGGCCCGCTATTACAACCCTTGTCTGCAAGATTTCTCTTTGTGTAAATCTAAGAACAATGGGTTAGGTTACGGGTATCTTTTTATTAGCGAAGGGGTTTTCGCCATGCTAATGCGTTTTATTGATGGCTTCAGTGATGTCAAGAGATGGGGAAATTGATTCTGTTATGAGGGGAATTAAACATGGCGCTTGTGATTATCTCTTAAAACCTGTCCGCCTCGAAGAACTTAGAAACATCTGGCAACATGTGGTTCGCAAGCTTGTTTCACCAATTTTGGTGTCGAAAGAGGAATCGGGGGAGTTGGATGAGTATCCCAAGCACCAAGATAATGCAGATTTTGATGCAACATCACGTAAGAGAAAAGAAAGGTTGGAAGATGAAACTCAGCTTGTGGAGGACGTGAATAATTTGAAGAAAGCTCGCATCGTATGGTCCCCTGAGCTTCATCAACAGTTTGTCAACGCTGTTAACTACTTGGGTGTAGACAGTAAGCTCCAATCTAGATGCTACACGTCTTTGCGAATCAGAAGATCTACGCACATCAGTAAAGGGTTCATAAACCTCATTAATTAGTTTTTGCCATAAACGTAGAGTGATCCTAACTTTCATTTTTTTCTGCAGAGGCTGTACCCAGGAAGATACTAGATATTATGAACGTTCAAGGCCTTACACGAGAAAACGTAGCAAGTCACTTGCAAGTAAGTTAGTTTTCTAACCTTTTGATTTATTCAAATGAAAGTATCTCTCTACTGACAAGTACTTAGATATGTTTTCTTATCAATTGGAAGGTAAGATTTATTTAGAATGTGTTTGCTTGAGCGCAGAAGTATCGATCGTATTTGAAGCGCTTGATTGGGGTGACACCACAACCGCATCCTGTAGCCTCATTTCAGGCGGCCGAGAATGGCACCTTTGGGGGAACTATGCAAATACAACCAGGCGGGCGCCCCACAGCATCTTCCAGCACCAAGGGTCTAAACCTTGGTGGTGCTGCAGCAATCTCTTCTATAAGTGGGTTAAACCGGGGAGGGTCACAAATTGATGCTGCGACACTGAACACGTTGGTTCAGCTTCAAAGTCTTCAACAGAAGCAACTTGGCACAACTGCTAGTCGGGTGGGTCTGACTACAGATCTGGTGAGCCTACAAACCCCAGCTGATCCGACCGGGCCTCAGATGCTGGATTCTTTTGAGCTTGACCTTCTGATGAAGGCCCAACACGATAGTCGGCAGCGAGGTGGCGGGGGCACTGATTATACAGCCTTGTTGAGTGGTAGCAAGGACACTCTACCCAATATGAGCAGCTTGAGGGGTCATGTTGAACTTAAGCCTGCTGCCATGGGCTCTACTAACCTCCTTGCTGGTAGTGAGCCAATGACGGCAATGTCAATGAGTAATCTGCGAGGTTCTGATGATTTGGGTCCTGGTTTGGGAGGCGTAGACGTAGGAAGGAGTCATCTTGTGAACAAGTGGGGAGGAGAATTTTCAAATTCTTCTGCGTTTTCTTCGTTAACCTCGCGGAGTAATGGTGGTGCTGTTTCTGAGAGTAGCTTCAGTATCGACTACGGTGACATTCCCGATGTGCCTCCTGAGTTTTTAGTTGCATCACCCTCAGATCTGTCTCTCTTGGGGCAACTCCAAGCCTTCGATCAAGGAGAACTTGACTATGACCAGTTATCTCAACCTCGATGGTCAATGTCGTACTCTAGCAAGGCATAGAAAGGCAGCTTTTTCTCCACAACATCGGTTTGGTCTCTCGTGAGTAATGCAATTCCACTTTCTAAGGCTGCTCTATTTGAGGGAGGGTTTCCATGCGGTTCTAGGTTGGAAATTGAAGAACTCATGTTAAGATATGTCTAGAGGTTATTCAATAACGGATTTGGATGCCTGCCTAGTTGCTGCTGCCCTTACTCTGATTGCATCGCTTTGCTCTACCCGTAGCACCTTGGTTGTTTTAGTGCTAGTCACGCTTCCTTGTATCCTACTATGCAAAGATTTACTTTTATCTTGCCAGGTGCAAGACCTCTGAAGGTTTTGCTCTTAGGAGCTGTACTTTATGTTCCGTCCTTGCCCAGGAGGGGCCAAAAGTAGAACAACGCAAGTGGAACCATGAGTTTCAAGGTTTCGAAGTTCTTTTGAATTGAGATTGGAAAGACGTGACCTTTTCTCCGAAGGCAATTGCACTGGACACAGCATGTAAAGCTATCAAGTTTCAAAGTCATCCATTTAGCATGCAGTGAGTTTTGTTGGTCGTAAGCCTATGGTAGGGTTTTCCCTAGTGTACAGTTTCAACATCTTTTGTGCAACCAGTAACCTGATGGACGATGTGAACTTCCCACTGAGAAGCTATTCTGTTTCCTTGCGAGCTCATTCCTCATGATTGCGTTAGGTTGTAGGCGATCGCTTATTTTGGAGCATAGTTTGGGCTATGATGATGTACCATATAACTTATTCTAATTAGCAATAGCCGTAGTAACTCGTGTGCCATATTATTTTCTTCTTTTGTAATTGAGAAACGGACTCGTCCAGTGGATGCCAGTGAACTGTAATTGTGTCGTTATTACGTCTGCTTGTTCTTGTAGTGCTTACTGCTTAAGACAAATGAGTACTCACTAGGGTCTAAGGCGTGTTTACATTAAGGATTAGTGTTCCAAAAATGTAAGCATTTTAGTCTGAATGCGTGTCATTATTCATCTTAGGCAGTTTTCTTTTACTACTGCTTTTCACTACATGAAGTGAAAATCAATCTTGAGAGATATTGATGAGATTGTAATTAGAATAACCTTAACTTACAATATTTTTAGCTTCCTAAGGAGTGATTGAAGCTTGGTCCATCACCTGCCAATTATTGGTTGTTAGATGACTAGTAACTCAATGTTTGTTTTCAGTTTTACAAAATAAGAGGAACGGAGATTTGTAGTGAGACAAACTAATTTATGGTTCTGTAGTTGACTTCAGGACTCAAAGAACAAATGGAATTGTTACTACATCCGGTTAGTAATTGCTTGAGCTAATCACCCAGGATTTGCATCATTATTTAGTCACAATATAACATATGTGTCTCCTCTTCAATCAGTGAATCAACTGAAAACATCAGATAATCCTATCTCTTTCCTCATAAATTCACACAAATTTACGAGCAATCCACGTAATTATCAATATTCGTGTGTTACACATTTACAGTAGACAAAGTCCCACACTTAGGGTAACTAGTATGTACTGTGTATGAATGAACAAGAAGCATTCATAACTTCCTGAACCCCTTTCATCTGCTCATCAACTTCATGCATACTTTAGTTGGCAACAAAGCCACAGCATCACCGAATGGATGCTCAATCTCAATTCTCAACAAAGATGAACACAACACATGTACAAAATGCGATGATAGACCTGATTCCAGCTCACCATCTACGGTTTAGATGGCTTTTGCCAAAGGCGACGCGTTGTCAGTATGGGAATTGGGAAATCTGAATTATCCATCTCCATCACAGGCTTCCCTGGGTAAAACATGACAGCATGGTTTTGGGTACACTGTACTGGCACAAACACATCCAGCCGCAGTCTTGTAGCAACAAATTGATCAGTGTCGTCCTCATGCAGTCGTGAAATGCTCACACCGAAAAACTTGATTGTACAAGAACAATCTCTCACAGTGATAAGACTGCTGAGAACATTATTTGGTGAAGTCTCGAGATTCACAAACCATACCCACACGTTCCCCATCGTTCCAACCCAATGAGGAACCCATACGGTGAGGTCGCAGGAACTAAACACGAAATATGCGGAATTAAGTTCCAAATTAACACCATCTCCGAATTGACTCCAACGTGGGATAAATATTTCTCGGTAAATTCTTTGAAACGTCAAGTCAACAAATCTGTGAACCCTAAAACGACTGGGTGCATGTACCCCTTCATCTGAAATACTACTAGAAAGAAAACACCCACGATTCCCTGCTGAAACAAGAAAGCCCCAAATCTGCTTTTGTGCCCCACGGTTCAAAATTCAGCTCTACAGTGCCAGAAGCAAAAATCCCCATTCCTTCTTATCATTGCAAGACATATGACCTTCGAAAAGAAGCCTGAACATAACAGAAGTTCACACTCCCTTGCTTGCTGTAAAGCAGGTTGCATTCCAACAGACCTTTGCACAAACAACCAATCACCAATCATGAGCTACAGTTTGGCTCCCACCGCCTCGTGAAGGCACAAACAGCATCAGCGAAAGCGCAAGCCGTGCATTCCAATTATTCCCCAAAGGTGGGCACCGCCGGTGCCCGACCCCAACAACGATTCCCGGTCCCGAACCTCCATCAACGATGTGTCTCAAACTCACACAATGTTGTTCGAACCATCCATTTGAACTTCACCAAAGACCGATGCGCGGGTGCTAGATTCTTGCCAGCGAATGGAACCTAGTTTTCTACTCCATGGATACATACTCTATACTGAATACAATAGATTATAATAAAATGTAATACGCAACAAATACAACACACATACAATACAATACAATGTAATGCCGAACTGCTCCTGTGTTTGTTTGTGTTGAGGCGGCGCTTTCGGTTCTCATGAAGGGGAACGCGAAATTCATCCACGATGCATATATCATTCGTACCTTATTCGTTTGTTCTTGTTCGATTGACACACGAGGCGTTCATCCGCTAGAAAAACCATGCCAAGGCAGTGAGGGAGTCGTGGTTTGACCTCATCAACGAGCAGGAGGAGGCGGTTTGTGAGGAGAAGACGGAGCTTGGGCCCCGCCATAGCCAGGTGCGTGCTGCAGGGCACAAGGTGGAGGAGAACATTGCAAGAGCGTTGCAGGAGCGAGCCATCGAGTGCGAGTGCGAGAGAGACAGAGTGGATCGCCGAAGGCTCAGTCCTAGCCACACTCCGCATTCTCCGACGCAGCCTGACCTGGCCCAACTCCCTGCTGCTTCTTTTTCCCCACCTTTCCCCTTTCTTTACCCGTTTCCAGTCTAACTCGCCCCTTCTCCTCCCCTTTCCCTTCCCTTCCCCTGCATCCACACCTCTGTCTCACATTGTCACTTCACTTCCTCGGCAGATTTGCATTCCGATCATTCCACTCGTGCGTTCATGTTGCTACTCGACTTTTTCTCTTCCTCTGCATGCGTGCTTCCGATGCTTCTGCTCAGTGATTGCTAACCTGTTCTTGGTTGGATGAGTTCACGCTAATCTTGTCAGTGTTTGTGGTTTATTTATTTATTTAATTATTCTTGCGATTTGATCGTGTGTATGTGTGTGGTTGTGATTTTTTTTGATTTCTTGTTAATTTTTTCAGGATCACGGTTATGAGGAGATGAAGATGGTGCTAGATCTCTGGTATCGGATGGCGGTTTTGAGAAAGTGAGCTTGGCTGGCAGCGAGGACGCTTGGTCAGAAGGGGGTGAGTTTAGAGGAGGCTTGTGGCTGTGAGATCGATTAGAGGGGGTTGGAATTGAGAACAAGAGATGGCGGAAGAGGAGGATTCATGGCAGCGCGGGGTGAGATTGGTGTTGCACTTGGATTCGATCCTTGAAAGTGATCCTTACATGTACGTTGTGTTCCTCTCTCTGCTGTGGTGGTCTGAACGTGCGTTGTCGTAGACATAGGGTTGAATTATCTATCGAATTATTCTTCTCTAATTGTTGCTAGGTTATTTTAGTTGTGATCTGGAGGTCATGACCAGACATTTAGAAATCATCAACAGCCTGCATTAAGTTTTGTGTTACTTGGTAGTTGCAGTATTGGATAGCGAATAGATGCTTTGGCGCCTCTTGATCACTCGGCTAGCTGCTTCACTAGAAATAATCTTGACACAGTTCATCAGGATTGGCTTGTGTCCCAGCGGTTTTCACAATATATGGGTGTTCGGACTCTTCTCGAATCTAGTAAATGTCTTGAAACAGCTTGGAGGAAGCTAGGGAGGCTTTGATAAGTTACTCGTATGTTGCTAAGGAGAAACCTGCAGAAAGATTCTAATGATGTTCTTGCGAAATACGTCTTCTACAATATTAGTGTTTCGGAACCACAGGTTTCAATGGAAAGGAAGCGTACGAACCTGTTTAATGAAAGCTCTGCAGTTATCCGATTCAATTCCTACCCTCTCAGTCGTTGAATTAGACATTGCGTTCGTTAATTAGCAGGACATTTATCAATCTTGATTGAACGAAGCGTCACAGTCTGAGAAACCGGTTGCCAGATACTCTAGGTGTAATATGGTTCCGTATTTTTGGCTTTTCAGTGCTCATTTATCAATTCGTGCTGGTCTGTATGGTTCCACGTTAGCTTGCGAATTTTATTGGGGATGCGTATCCTTCAATCAAGTACTTCAGCTGTGTCGGACTATAACATTGGAAAGGAATGCCTCCGACTCCTCTTTCACAGTTGTCCTGAGTCTTGAACTTTGGTGTATGCTGCAGTGACGAGCTCGGGTTTGTGCATCCATCCCAACTGGAGAGTTTGCATTCTCTCGACAATTTTTCTTTAGATCATGAAAAGCCCTTTTTCATGAAAACAAGGAGAAAACCTGAGGGTCAAGAGGAAGCGGATGACTCTATTCAGTACGCGGAGGATTGTTCCCAGAGAACTGATGGACCTGAAGTAGAGGCTGAACCGCCTGGGACCAATCCAGATCAGAGTTATCTGAACAATGTGCAAGGAAAAGTCATCGACTTTCCGTATGACAAATCAGCATTTTGGTGTGCTCATCACAAGCTCGCCATTGCTGTACCTGCTCTTGCTCCTATTTACGAAGTAGCTAAAAAGGAATTTCTTGCAAATAGGAAAGCATATATGCAATGCATGGTTGGTACAAAAAGTCTTGGCACGTCTCCGTCCCCCTGCACCTCTCAACTTTCAGAAGTTAGCTCGAGCAATGGACACGCTAATGGTTACGTAAATGGTCATGGTAATATTATTAAGGATGGAGTGAATGGATCTATCAAGGACTCACTGCAGACGAATCTCATGCTGTACACAAGAGTTTTGGTGATTGTGAATAGTGACTTTGCAAGCGCCTGGAATGCCAGGTAAGCTTCTCAATGACCACTTAGGTCGATCGCGTCCATGTTGATGCGTAGAATGCTTTATCAGGGTCAATGACATTGCAGAATTCTCGACACACATGCCGCGCGAATTATTTGCGAAGTTCTGGAATGCAGTGCTGGGTGTGCAAGTTGCAAACGGGCAATTGAGATGCCTTAGTTTACGATTAGATACAGATAGTTCAAATCTGGTTTACACATCACTTTTGTGCAGAAAGCGTATATTATCGAGAATAGAGGCAACTGAGGAATCTCTTTTGTCCGAGCTTCGCTTAGCAGGGATGGTATTAGCCTACGGTCCAAAGAGCGAGGAATCGTGGGCTTACAGGTTTGTTTTGTTTTCAGCAGTTCAAATTTTTAGTTGTTATATTTGGTGACAGTTCATGCATTCAGGTGTTTTGAGGCTACATTAGGCTTTAAATATCAATCTATCCAGGCCTCAACTTGTTTGGTACAGGTTTACCATTCGGTATTTGTACGTCTTAAATTGCAATCACAATTATAAAATATGTAAGAAATATGCTTTGACCATATTATGGTTACTAATGCTAGTTCAAATAGTTTCACTTAGACCCTCCTTGTTTCTTTGCCCAGTTCCCCCTTCCTAAGTACGCTACAATTTCGTCTTCTTGACGTTACAGCTTTTATCACATCTTGTGCAGGCGGTGGATTATTAACCGAATGATTGCAGTTGGAATTCATTGGAAGACTGTAGACTTAGTCTTAGAACGAGACTCAATGCTTGTGGAGGCCATTGCTGGGGTATACTATCATTTTTTCCCTCTAAAATCATCTAAAATTTCTTGATTTAGTTCTTCCTTCCAGTTTTTGAAACATTTTCTGTTCAATCCATAATGGCTCGATTGAATGTGAGCAATCTTGCGCATTTACTCGCATTCCTGTAGATCTTCATTGTTCTTCGACTGTAAGAACCGTTCCTCCGAACTCTTTCAGCATGATGTGGCTCTCATCATCGTCCTATGAAGAGGAAAATCAACTATGGAGTTTGAAGTGATTTTAATATAATGGCTCCAATCTCTTGCGTCTGTGACCTTTTTTTAGTGTTTTGAGAAAGAGCCATACAAATACAGCGAATAACGTGATCATCAGATTCTGTAGTACTCTGTAATTATCATCCAATTCTAAGTAGCTGTTTCCTGGTGTTGTAGAGGTCGACGATGAACTACCGAGCGTGGCGCCATCGCTATTGGCTTGTCTCGCGCATGTCACTTAAGCAGGTTACATGTCGTGTTTTTTACGGATTTCTATGCGCCCCCTCTTCTTTCTTTCTTTCTGTTCGAGGAAAAAGGATATTTTGGCTATGATTCTGCACGAAAAGTACACTCTAGCTTAATGAAAGAATATGAATATTCCTCTTGCTAAAGTTGTTCTTGTGACTTATATTTCTTGTGATATAGGTAGCCTCAGAATTACAGAACACAAAGAAATGGGCGCAACAACATGTAGCTGATAACTGCTGCTTTCATTATCGACGGGTTAGTTTCTTTTAACTTTTCCTTGTCACTCATCATCTTGTTGGTCCCCTTTTTGCCGCATCAGATAATATTATATTCTTCATTCAGGTCATGTTGGAAGTTCGTAATAGTTAATTCAGCGTTCACGGATGACTCAACTGCATTAAGATTTGTTCTCATGATCAGAATGTAAGAAAATTAGCTGCTTTTTGGAAATCAGAGGACTAACACTGACCTTATTTGTAAATAGACTCGGTAATAAGAACTTATACTCTGTACGAAACTCTGGTGAAAGTTCATTCTAGCATGATTTCTTACTATCACGAGTTTCTGCATCAAGAAACTAGGCTTCCATATTTAGGCAGTAGATTTACTTCTAGTCATGAAACCCGCTTCTCATTGGTTTCGGTGCATTACTTTACTGGATTCCTTACTAAGTGGGAGAATATAATTGCAGTGTCTTCTTTTAGGTCTACTTCAAGCTGGATTAACGCCCAACAGCAAGAATGTGAGCTGTCCAACTCTAGCCGATTCTAGAGCCCAGGCTGGCTTATCTTCTGCTTTGTCTATGAACCCGCAGCTTTTGACTAAATTATGGAAGGTAATTCATGCGCTCATTATTACCTATGAGCACGTATTCTTGTGGACTTATAAAATGAGGCTGAGTGATTTAGTTTGAGTCCATTATTTTGAATTCTCGAGTTTGACTGTCAAGGACAGCAGTACTTGCCTTGTTGATCACCAAGATGCGGATGATTGCTCTCCCTGTTCCTAAGTGATTCTTAGGTTTCAATTTGATTATGATACAAGAAATCGCGTGACGTTCCGAACTGATTACGTGTTTTTACCTGCAGGAGGAACTATCCTGGAACAAGGATTTGATTGAACGTTTTTTTGGTCGCGAGGTACTTTATATTCGTTTTGCCTTTTGTTCCTTTACTTTTCATCTTCTATTATAAATAAATTGTCATTGAAAGCCGAAGTCCACATTTTGACGAAGTACTTGTAAGTGGTGCAATACATGCAAGTTCTGTGAGATGTAGTGCTTCTGATCCACAAAATTTCCTGCTATATTTTAATTACCTCGAGACAAATTTGCTGCACTTGTAGGCTTTATGGCTACATCGGCGGTTTTTGATCTGGGGTTTCGGCCACAATTCGAAGATCTTCAAGTCGACCTCACTTCCAGTTGTATCTAATGATGGTGGCAACACAACTCCGTTATCTGAAGGGAAGGAGTTTTCTCACAAAGCTGCCCGGCTTGCTGAAAGAGAGCTTCAATTTGCTGATGCTTGCATTTCTGCGTGCCGTTCAGATACGTTGGATGATGCATGCAGGCAGCGAGAATATGCAGCTTCTTACAAACTATGGGTACTTTTGCTGGTGAGTCCAAATTCAAACAAACTTTGTCAGGTCTTCGAGTTGGTCAATGAAGTATTGGTGTGCCGTGCTGTTATTTTCGGTCGTATGTATTATCTGCTGCGGTGCTTCCGGCTCAACATGTAAAGATGGAAGATTATTCCTTTTTAGACATGACACTTAGATCCTTTCCTGTCTTCAACATGTGAGGTAATGGTGTTAATCATACGAGTGCGTGCAAAATTGCAGCATGTAGGAGGAAAGGAAGATGGGATGAACGGAGAGTCAAACCATAGATTATTGGAGCTGAATAATCTAGAGCTCTTGCTGAAGGATGTGGGTCCTCATCGTGACTGTTTATGGAATGGTCTGATTCCGAACCTGGTCTAGGTCCCCGTTCAACACGAAATGAATTAACTGACTCGAACTATCGTCATTTATGGAAATCAGCCCATCACCTTTTACTAGTATAATCAATTAAGGACCGTCAGAACTCTAGTTTCTGTAGTACCTAGATATAGATCTCTAGTTTAATTAAGATGGAAATAGGCGAAATGTACTCGTTAATGTGTCTTCATTCTTGGTATAATAAGCTCTAGTGAGTGCAGTAATCTCATACAAACGGCTCCTGGCTTGTCATAGAATATTTAGTGCATCTATTTATGGGCTATATATACTCATCACAAGTACTATGTGAATGGAAGCATGTTAAAGTTTTGCCTAGTTTTATCGTTGAGTTACTCCAAAGATGTATTGCAGAGTTTCCTTTGAACGTTCTTAGTTGCAGTGGAGTTGGCAAATGGAGAAACATGTGATAATTGATAGTGTACCAGTAAATTTGCTTTTAGGGTTCATACAATTGCTGTGTTAGTTTCTCTCCAGTTCTAAACTAGCTCAAGGTTTCATGTCTATCAAAACTCATGCCTATTCAACTTGCTGTGAAGTTTCGCATGGATATGAAAAGTGTTGGTTCGTCATGCTGTCGTGGCTGTCGGGGGCATTAAAAGTAATATCGCTCCCAATATTCTGTTGTGATGCGCCGTCCTGATATGAAAGGTCCTGCTTCGAAACCAACATCATTGAGATAAGTAGAGAGACCCCAACCTTCCAAATGCAGCATGAAATGTTGAAAACATCAGTGCTTGGAGGCAATCTCGGAAATCTACAAAAACGCTATCACATCTTTCCTCTAGGTTGCCTTCGAAACACGGAACAAAACGATCGAAATTAATTACAAGCAGTGCGCATTGGTGAGCAGTGATTCACAAAACCGACAGAATTCACTACCAACAGTCAGGAAGTAGTGGAAAGTGCACTTTAGCAGGATCCCGCCTTTTCTCGTTTTAAGAGGAAAAGAACTTTGCGTGCACACGTGCAAAGGAAGGAAGCCCTGACTGGCTCACATCTTGAAGCAAATGATTTTCATTAAAGCCCACTGGACATGTTCTCAATCTAGATGAGTATTTATGATTGTCGGGGCACCTAGTCATCTGCTGAAGGTGTCAAACTCGATTCGTGTCCTATACCATCCAGCAGTCGGTCTGGAAGTCAACGAAAATATCTGCTACAATATAATGAACTAAGCCCAAACATCCAAGTTCGTCAGTCTTGTTAGGATACGAGGCACTCTCATTCTTTCAAACACCACCGACCTAGACACCAAAACAAAATGTGACTGTTGTGTGTACGAAATTATGTCATTTTGCTGATAGTTCTTTAACAGAGAAAATTTCTTAAGTTGGAATAATCGCATTGTGGAGTTACCCCAGGTGAAACAGAGGGTCTTTCTGGTAGAATCTTCTGGGGGCGACACTCTTTCTAAGCGTTCCTGCATTTAGTTTGAAGAAGATCTATGTTTAGGCTATTCATGAATGAGATGCGAACTTCGCTCCAGCCAAACCTTAGTATATGTGTGAAAATGGTGACAGGAATTAATTGTACCTTCGACATTCATCCTCAACAATCGACTGATATATGTCCGACTCCTTCTGCGAGGCTGAGCGATCCACTTCTTCATGGAGGTCTTTCACATCCTGACGCAACGCACACGTCAAGAAATTGAATGACATGAAACTGTTAGAATTTTTTAAAAACAAAAAAGTGTCTTTTAGAGTGTAGAATCCACCTCCACAGGAATTGCAGAATCAGGAAGAGAGTTGCCAGGTACCACGCAACTTCTTGGAATGAAGTCGCTTCTCAAAGATTGGAGCTTATGCCTTTGAGATTGCAAAAGAGCAAATAGAACGGATCTCTCCCGTTTGAGAGAGGCATTCTCTAACTGCAGCTCCGTTATTAGTGCGCTAATTTTTTTATCACCAACCACCTTCTGTCTCTCTAATTCCGCATTTCTGTGCAAAACAACTTGACTGTTTTAAAGCAATCTTTATAGCATCCAAAAACAAGTTGTGGTAAGCACATTCTTCAAGACAATTTCCGTCAAATTCAGGAGGAGCATAGCTAGAGCAAGGAATGATTAAATGAAGCACTTTTCAGCAAGTTTGCGCAGAAGATAAATTGTTTGTTTCATTTCTTCGCTCAGTGTGTCGAGCTGCAACTGTACGGAGTCCACATCAAGCTCTAAGAGACACTTCTCTAACCTGCTCACATGCCCTGTGCCACTGCCTGTCAGAAGCTACATGGGGGGCATGGCAACAGAAATTTCTCTTATCACAAATAATAATAACAACGAAACTAATATTAATGATTTCTGTTTTTAAAGAAAACAAATTTTGGGAAGACATCTACAATCAATTAACTGAGTTGCAAGGACATGAGAGCCGTAAAGTAGGTTAGTGAGAGGAAAGTTACCTTACTTTAAGCTCCTTGTTTATCATTTTCAAGTGACGCTCGCTTTCAACACGTTTCCTCAGCGCACACTGAAGAGCATTGCAAAGGCGTCGAAGGGATGCGGCGCCGGAGGGAGGAGGTGCCATTAAACCCCCACTCCGGAGTTGCGGGTCAACCATAGTCAATCGCGGCAAAGCATGTGCTTTCGTTTCATCCGCTCCATTGCCCTCAAATTCGGTCTTCAGGCACGACTTCGGAACTGCTTGGCACACGCTCCCATCGCCTATGACCCATGGTAGCAAGCCATGCTGCTTCCTGCATTGGTCTTCCACTCCACAAAGCGCGATGTCATTGGCAGTACAATCCTGGTTTTTGCAATCTTCGACTATGTCACCCCAGCATCCTTTGCAGGCTGCACTTACGGAACCAAAAGTTGCAAACAGTCTGCGAACATTCAAGTAATAGTGATTAGTTTTAGATGCACATCATTTTATGCTTTGTAATTCATCTGTACTACGATGTGATTTTCTAGAGAATCCTCCCGACTGCTTACTGTGAGCTCATTTTTGTGCACATTAACTTCATGTGCACTGCAAGTGATAAATGCCTGGTATTACGGTACAAATATCTTGCCGGTTCTAAAGCAAAGAGAAGTACAGGAACTGGACGTATCCCAACCCGGAACATTCTGTGCCTCGAGCTTTCAAAATTACTTGGTCAAAGGCTTCTGATGCTTGGTACAAGACATTGCTGATCCACATTACTCAAATTGTCATACGCGACGCAAAGTGAAAACGAAGTTGTGAACATTACATCTCCTCATTACCATCTGTACTTGCGCAACTGAAGCACTCCTCACTTCGGTCACATCCTCCCTGTCCCTCATGTTCGCCCCGCGACATTGAAAATCCACAAGTCATTCCTTTCATTCCGGAAGCATCTTCATATGTTGCAGCATTCCCTTCCTGACAATGGGGCTCGGTGATATCTTTGCCATCATCTTCACAACAGTTACACGCCATTTTTCCAGGACCTACTGCAATAAATCGGGGTCGACGCCAACTTTCACTCCCTCAACTAATTTTCATTGGACCTTTTCATCCTTTCCGACAGCATCTCTATCCGAAGTCGCAGCTACATGAGCGAATGTCCCGACTGGAAGGACACCGCCGTCCAGAACACAACACACCATCTTGTCATGACCCAAACGCTCACTACCACTCGCCACAAGGTAACACCAAACTTTCATATTCCGCGCCGTCGTTTCGAATCTCTTAAAACGGCTCTAGAGCACAAACCATGATAGTAATGGAACGAAAAACCAGCATCTCTTCAACGTTGGCACGAGTAACAATTCTCAGCTTCGAAAGAGAAACGATTCATTGCACAAGCTCTCCATCCCTCTACACGCCGGCGCACTTTTTTAGTCTCACTTATCAATTTGTGAAGAGCCGTGCCGGCTATTGCGGCATTCCGGAGTTCGTTAGATTCGTGAGCTGCCGCATGATTATGTAATATCTGAATTCAATCTAAAGACAGCAAGATCCTTGCCGCAAGTAAACGTAGTCGAATGCAAAATGTTATGCCATGAGCAGCAACCATTCAGCCACAACATGCGATCACAACACGACTAAATGTATTTGATAATTGAGTTTGTGGATATATATATATATATATATATATATAATTTTATTATGAATTTTTTTATAAAATGTAAAGAAGACATTGAAACATATATATATATATATATAGGACATTGTTAACTGGCATTTAAAAGAGTGTTACTTCAGGAAATCCTCCACAATAGCTAATCAATATAATTTGCTGAATGTTGATATTTTTAGTCCTAGACAATGTTTAATCTTCCAAATTGTAATATTGTGATTTTTTTTAATAAAGAAAATCGTATTATTAGAATTTTTGTGAGCAACTTGTAATTTGATTATTCTTGTCATTGGTTACATTTTTTCTTAAAATCTTAAAGGAATACACTGTTATGTTTGATATGTTCTAAGTAATATATATTCTGAGTAATATATTGTAATCAAACTAGATATAAGATCATATCCAAAAATATTAATGTATTAATATGTTGTAGAAATAGAATTAAAATAAATAATAATAAGAATTATAAATTCACTTCTTAACTTCATTATAAAATATATTAAATTTATTTAAAAATATAAAATAAATCTCTTTTATATGCATAATATCATGTTGACTAAAAAATAATATATAAATCTCAGTTTTTAAAAATAAAAATATTTATTTATTATATTTTAAAATAAATATCATTATAATTTAATTAAATATATAATAAAGTATTAAAATAAAATATTAATAAAAAATTAAAATTTATATTTTGATTTATAATTATAGAATTGTGATTTTTAAATTATTCATAGAAAAAATTATTTAAAAAATGATTATTGAAGAATTTATTTGTCAATTTTTAGTATTAAATCTAAATTTTCATGATTTTTTCTTTTGTTCTTTTCTTTTTGTTCTTTTAAATATATACATACATGATATGAATAGATTTATTTAATTATCATTTTTTTCTAATTAACAGTGTATTATAGATATTAATGAAGTTCATATATATTTGAATTATAAGACAAATTATCATTACTTTTGTAAAAATTTCTTGAGATTCAATTCTTTAAATTACTATCATTGCATGAATTATTATTCATGGAATTGAATTCAAGTAGAATATTCTAGATTATAGTCATTGCCTTCCAAACTTGCCAAATGATAGGTGAGTAGTGTTGAGAATTTTGGAGTGACAGAAGAGTAGCTGGAAGTAATGAGCACATATATACATAAGAGATTGTATTGATATGGTTGTTTCTTGTATAGAAAGAAAAGAAGAGAAGGTTTTCATAGTATTCAAGGACAAAACCATAGATGAAGAAAAAAGAGTATAACATCATTTTTCTTAATTATTTAAAGAATTCATTAATTTTTTTTATTTGAGAAAAGCAAGTCATTGCACACTAATGCTATAAGTAAGTCAGCAATGGTTGCACAAAGGAAGAGCTTTGGTGAGGAGATCAATAAGGTTATTTGCAAATTCAATTTTCTTGATCTAAAGTGCTTGATTAATAATCAAGTCATGGATATAACTAAAATACTTTGGATCAATATGCTTTGTCTTGTCACCTTTAATGAAACCAAATTGCATCTGTGGAATACAAACACTATTGTATTCATATAAGATAGTTAAAAAATGATCATATGAAAGTCTATAAGTTATCTAAATGAGTTTATCAATTGATTACAACCAAATACATTCTTAAGATGCTTCATGTAAGGCAATAATTTTTATATGGTTGGATAAAATTGTAATTATAGTTTGTTTCACTAATTTTCATAATATTACACCTTCATGTCTTAAAAATAAATAGCTTGTTTGAAATTTAATTGCTATAATATCATATTTATATCCTATATTATAATATCTAATTAATTTTGGATTTGCAGATTGTATATAGTATAATCTCAAATCTTCAGTGCCTTTTAAATAATGTAATGAATGTTTGATGTTATTTCAATGTTAGAGTGTTTGACGTGCACTATGTCTTGTAAAAATACTAACTATAAATGTAATTTCTTGTCTTGTAGATGTGGCTAAATATAAAAGTGCTCCAACCACTAAAGGGTATAAATACTAATCTTCTAATATTTCCTCCTCTCCCTTCTAGGAAAGATATAGATCATCACCATCATGACCATATTCAATCGTTGGTGTTAACAATAGATAAGCATCAATCATATTGAATCTCTACAAGATTTGTCTAATATATGTTAGTTGATAGAAAAAAATGCTATCATTTTTTAAATGAATAATTTAAAGACCAATGCAAAAAGTTATTTTTTCTAATATTTTCATTTCAAATTCATGGATAAGTAGGTTAATAGCTACAACATATGCAAATCTAATATCCACTAGATTAAGATTATTAACATATATAGTAATAATGACAATAATAATTTTATCTCATTTAATAAATAAATAAGAAATTAATAGATTACTTCCAAACTTATTTATAATTAAATAAACTCAAAGATATTGATACTACATATATCTAGATTGTTTAAGATCATATAGGACATTTTATAATTTAATACCATGATATTGTCATGGAGCAAGTCTATTTGGAGTTTCTATTTCTAAATTAAGTGGAACTTTAATATAAATATTTGCATCAAAAGAACCATACAAATATGCAGTTATCACATTCATAAGACATATCTTAAAGGTGGCATGAATTGCCATTCCAATAATATATCAAAATGTAATTGAATCCATGACTAAAAATTACATGGATTTATAATCAATACCAAATCATTGGATAAATTCTTGGATAATAAGACGAGCTTTATAGTAGATTTTTTTATCCCTAAGATCTTACTTGCATATTAATACTATCTTATATTCTAGTTGATATGATGTAAGAATATCCACAATTGAACCAAAGATTTTTTTTCTTATATAAAGAGGCAAATTCTTCCTCAATGGCAGTTTTTATTTTAATCAGTTAAAGTGATGCATCACTTTCTCAATGGTTTGAGATTCAAGATTTTCTTCCTTGTAAAAAAGAGCTTAAGTAATCATACATGCAAATGAATCATCTATTATACTAGATAGTCTATTCCAAATGTAGTTTGTAATACAATATAGAACAAATTATTTTGTACTCAACTTAGTTTTATTCTTCTTAATTTAGAGATTTTCTATTACATGAGGTGAAGATATAAAATAATATTTATATAGACATATCATCATTAATTAATGGTTCCGTAGGTTTAGTGGGTACTTGTCATGGATATATGCATGTAAGCTAGTAATCACTTGTATAAATAGGTAGAAGTAAGTAGAAGTAAGTAAAAGCAAGTTAATTTTATAATATCTTCTATAAAAGCTTTATAGATTCTGCTTTGACTTTATAAATGTCTTTAATTGACTTTTTGGGTTAGAAACGTGGTCAACAAGTTGGCCATGTGTCACACATGTTGTTAGCTTGAAGACCAAGCTAATTATGTGGCTCACTTGTAGAAAAACTTGCCTTGTAAGTCAAGGCAAGTATCCTACAAAGTCAACACACATTGGAGGTCCTATAGAATATCGCCAAGTAGCCCCTAGTTAGATAGTATATATAGAGACAAGAGTGAAGCCCTCTTCACTCTTGTCAACTCCTTTCTTCATTCTAGTCTAGTTTTAAGAGTCTTAAGTTTTCTTGTCTTTTGGCAATAAGCCAATCTAATTTCTTTTAATATATGTACTTCTTTATTTCTATTTTGTCACTTTTTTTTTACACGGATTTCATTGGTTTATGCATCATCTTTTAGTTCATGTCCTTGACAATATTTCTACAATAACAATACTATAATCAACAAATGTTATATTCTTCTTCTTATATGATTGTTTATTTGGTGCATGAATCCTTTTAGTTTTTGATGTTATAACTTGAGGTATATTAGTTAATAGTATTGCAATCTGAGTAGGTGCATTTTGAGCTTCATTAATGAAAATTCTTGTAATTTGAGGCGCATCATTGAAGCCATCAAATATTTCATCTCCAATCCATTTAAGATACAAAATCTTAGCAACTTCAATTTTAGTCAAAGATATTTTAGGATCAAGATTCATTATAAACGTTTTTAGTACTCCAAATATAAATATTCTATTTTTTTGTTAATTAGATACTCATCTTCAAAAAGATGGAAATATATTTTTTTTTTAAATATTTTTTTTGAAAACATACACATAATAATGTATCAATTGATAGATTAAAGATACAAATAATGTTTGGTGAATCAAAACCAACATATATGCCTTCTTGTCAATGGGCTTCAATGGTACACCATTGATGTTCTAGTACTGGAGTCCAAGTATAGAAACCAAACATCCGTAAGTGGAAATATATTAGAAACATGATTTAAAATGATCTCTTTTGGTATATTAATTTTAAGAGTAGAGGATGGAGGCATATTAATGTTGCAGCATGCAAAACTATATGATCTCATATAAATATAAGTAAATTTGCTTGAAGAAGTAGTGATCAAGTAATGAATTGTATATGCTTTATAAATGACTCTGCAATTCTATTTTGAACATGTTCATATAAAACACAATATGTCAACTCAATCTCTCTTGCAGTATAATAGTCTTCAAAAGATTTTGATGCAAATTCTTTTGCATTATCCATATGCAATGTTTTGATAGGATAATCAAGAAAATATACCCAAAAATAAATAAGCATAGATAAAAGATTGGAAATCACCATGTTTTAGGTTGATAATAATAAAACATGTGATTATTTGCTTGATGCAACAATAAAGACTAAAAAATAACAAAATGGTTCAAATATTGTATTAATAGGACCACAAATATCACCATGTAATTTTTCAAGCATTGATGGTAATTCTTACAGAAGTTTCTAAATTAAAGGTCAAGGAATCATCTTACCTTGTACTTATGCACAACATAATTTCATAGAAACTACATTTATAGGTCTTAAATTATGACTAATTATACATAGAATTATCTTCTAAAATAATGTAGGATTTAGATGTTTCAATCATCTATGCTATAAAAAAATATGACTCTTTGTGATAGATGATGCAAAATTAAATATAATGGAAGGCCAAATTGCAATCCAATATAAATTATTTGTTGCAACAAAGACTTTTTTAATAACTTTATGGTTTTATACAAAAATCAAATCTCCCACCTATCTAGAATGGTGGTTGAAAGGTGATAATCATTGGTACATACATCTCGATAGGTGATAAAACTCCAAAGTATTGAAGGTGCAAACATTGCATGTTTACATTTTATGATGAAACCTATAAGCAATTTTACTATCAATGCTCCATCTTGGAACAAAATGCATTCGTTCTTGCTATGGTCATCAAATTTTTAATTTGCTAAGTTGAGGATTTTTGAGTAAAAAATTGTCTATCTCACAAGATAGTATATATTGTTGCAAAATCAATGAAGGCATCATTTGACTCATCATCATAGGTTTTATTATTCACATAAGCCTCTAAAGCATCAATATCAATTAAATCTATGGATGCATCTATGGTATGAGCTTCACAAGCCTCAGCTCAAAGTTTCTTATTTTTCTTAGAACATTTTTATAAAGTATTTTGAAATATGGAATGCATATACTAAATATCCAATCATCTTGTATTTACAGCAAGAATGCATCTTAGATTTATTTTTTTCATTGTAATTAATAGTAGAATGTTTTTTCTTTTTATATGAGTAGAAATAGCCATGACCATGATTGCCCTAGTATTTATGAGCATTTTTCCTATGTTTATATAATTTTTTCGTAAACTTTGAAATATTGAATGTATGAAATTCTAGAACCACGATTCTAATAGGAGAAGCTTTTGCATTACGCAAGAGTAGCTCATTTTGTTTTTCCGTAAGTAGATAGGATATAAAATTAAGAAGACTTTTAAATTTTATGTTCCTATATTATTGTGCAAGCATAGCAGATGCAAGAAGAAATATAGAGAGAGTTTTATCAATCATTTCTTCTTCAAATATGCTTTATATGCACAATTGTAGTTGTAATATAATGTGATATATTTCACTATTGAAAACATTTCAATTTAAAAAATCTAAGATGCATAAACATGTCGAATCATGATGTCTATGCAAAAAGAAAATGGTCTTTTGATGATCAAACTTGGATTTAAGATTCTTCCAAAGCTCGGTTAAATCTACCATATTCAAATATTGATGTTGCAATACAAGTATTAGATGACAACAAAAGAGAAGAAGTGCTTTCTAATAGATAGTAAGAAGAATAGAAGTACTTATAGTAGAAGATTCTTCAAACAAAATTACATCTAAAAGTTATCTTATAAATAAATTTAATTTTATCATTTTGCCCATAATAGATAATTGTTTCCATTAGCAACCAATGTTAGAAATAATAGAGCTTGAAAATGTTGGGATGTAATGGTAATAGTTGGAACTATAATAGAGGCAATTAAAGATGTTGGTGCAGTCATTATAAATAAATCTATGAAAAAAATACAAGAACAAGTAGAAGAAGTTGTAGTAAAATGCACCTTAAAATATAAATCCAAATAAAATGATAAAGTTGAACTTGAAATAAAAAATATTAAGAATTTAGAGATTTTTTTTTTCCAAAAATAAGGGTTTGTAGTGGATTACTACAATAACAACAATAGTGGCAAATAACAGCAGCAGACAACAATGGCAACAATTGACAATAGTGATAGACTATGGTGCATGACAATTGATGGTAACTTGGAGAGGTGCAATAGTCGATGGCACAATGCAACAACTTGGTAATATGATTGTAAAACAACAATTAGCATCAAGGAAGGTGCATTACATCATTAGCAAGAGTAGGGTATAGAGCAATACAATAGTAATAGTATCAAGCACAGCAAGTAGGCCACAAGATATAGAATGATGCAATGTAGAAGAAAAAAAAAAAAAAAAAAAAAAAAAAAAAAAAAAAACAAGAAAAAGATAAAGAGCAAGGTGCACATAAGTTTTTAAAAACAAAGACTAGTGTACAGGAGTAGTTGTGCTAACAACATGTTGAGAATTTTGGAGAGATAGAAGAGTAGCTGGAAGTAATGTGCATACATAGATAAGAGAGTGTACTAATATGATTGTTTTATGTATACAAAGAGAAGGAAAGAAGATTAACAATTTTTCTTAAATACATTCCAAACACAATATTTATTACCTACATTTAATGCTCTCAAAAAGTAGGAATAAAATCTTTGTTCTATTTAGATAGTGGCAAAAGAACTTTAATATATATATAATATATATTTATATTATTCAAATAAATAGAAGTAAATAAAAATAAATAGATTAATATTAGAAAGTCAACACCTTTTTTAAAAAGATGTAAAAAGTTTTTCAAACATAAATTAGATAATTAGTCTTGAATAAGTATACAATCCTCAAAATTATCAACACTTTTCTTCTATTTCTTTCTTGGATCTTTCTTGTCTCTTTGTATTTGGCTTTGTATTTGGCAATAGCCATTTTAATTCTTTTGTTTCATATAACTATCACTTCTTTCCTTATATTTTCTCTTCTTTTTTGGTACATAAATGCATAGGCTATTGGATTTTATCTAAATTCATATTCTTAATACTCAACATCCATTAATAATTTAAATTTAAGAACAAATTGTATTTAAGAACAATATTTACTTCTTTATTCACCTTGGTTATAAATTTCATAAAACATATCAAAACCTTAAAAAGTATCTATTGTTTTAGTTTGGACAAACACCTAGTCAAAATATTTACTCTTCTTTCTAGGCAATAAACACGACATATAAATTCATAATTTTACTTACAAAAATCATGAGATTATCTAACATTTCCTATAATAATTAGTCATTAAAAAAATCATAAACATTTATAGACAAATAGATAAGATGAACTATAAGGAAGCACATAATTTTCACTATACTAAATTGAAGTGTACACTGTTTTTCCAAAACAAACAAATACTCTATATACCAACTCTACAATCATGAGGTTAAGCAGAAGAAAAGGTTCCATTTTTACATGATGATAAAACATATTGAATTAAAAACATTTAGAGGCTAACGATGAACGATGAATCATTTGCTTCATACAAATGTGTGACCGCTATTAACCCAGAGTGAAGATCCTTGCACTAAAAGTTCATATCGCGCAAGAGCCAAGAGAGGTTCAGAAGCCTGCAGGACTGTCACCAAACGCTCTCGAAAAACATTTACAAGGACTGAAGAAAGAGAGAGAGAGAGAGATTAAATATAATATAATCTTTAGTGCATAACGCTATCTCGTAGTTTTCGAAATTCATAAGGTTGTTGGTAAACATGCAGTTCTGAAATCTTTAAACAGCAAGCTTAGACAATGATAAATCAAACCAACGTAAAGAAAATTCTCCGATACACCGGGCTTTAGCACTTCACCTTCATTCTTAACTTGGTGACATTGCAATGGTCGTCAGATTCGCACTGCACATAGTAGTTACCAGATAATCCAATAGAATTACTCCACATACGAATAGAGGTGTGTGAAATCGGCTGCCTTGGCACTGCAGATACCTACAAATGAGTACTTTTCCCTTCCGCATGCCAGCGAGATTTCCTCGCCCTTAACTTGTTCTTAGAGGTCGGAACACCATAACTGGCCGTTCACAAAGACAATCCTGTAGCAAACAGTATTCTAATAGCCTCTCTGCAGCGATCAAGGCATGCAATTCTTCCCTTAAGAGAAGCTTGGTTAACAATATAGAATGACGAACAATCCAAGAAATGCCCATGACACAAAATCCCCTTGCACAAAATGTCAGACGACTTAACGAAAGGGATACCTGCAAAAAAGAAAAACAGCTCAATCTCTTCTACAAAGAAACAAGGTTACAACGACAACCGGCCAGGTACATGCACATACTGTAATTATTACCTTCACTTGGCAAGGCTGCACAGGATTCTCACACTGATATCCCACTAGACTGCTGCAGCTGGGCCCCAACTGGGATAAAGACGTGGTAGATCTGCCAGCGAATTGGCACGATAAATGTAGGAGCTGGCCAGCAGCATCAGCGAGGATCAACTGGACTGCACACTCAGCGCCCCAACTAACTCCCCCAAAACCAGCAGTATGCAGCTTAGCAGTCCCCAAGGCCAGCAGCCACCAGTCACCACAGCTCAGGTGCCACACCAAAAATATGGTGTTAATCCCACGACCCCACTCAGCGCTACCACAGTACCGAGATTGTAAACAAACCAAACCTTACCATGTCAGACATTGTATCATGGAATCTGTCGACATTCTCCAACTTGATGTCTGCTTTAGTAAATTTGGTCTCCTACACTTTTCAAAAACTAGTTTTCCCCTAATACAACACTTTTAAGTCTTTGAAACACAAACAAAAGTTGTGTCCTGGTTTGATACTGGAAATGTAAGTTTGTCTGAACACAGCTCCACAACACCAGATTTCTACCAAAAGACTTTTTCACTACGTCACTAGTGCATACTAAGAAAAGCATTTGAACCAGGTCAACAAACTAACCAGCCAAACAAATCCACAACGGCGAAACTTTAAGTTGCTACTTCCTTTCACAGCCAGCGATCCTCAGTCTGCTGCCCGTCATGCCATTATAAATTCTAGCCACTCCATTCTTCCCAAACGCGTGAACTCAAGTGAATGTCTGTACATACAGTTACATACATGTACATGTCTCAAAACGAATAAATTGTATTCAGAATTTTCCTACAATGAACTCACGTTGACGAGTAAGGAGAATCAGAACATCAAAAATAAATAAAAAAGGAAAACTCAGGTCCGGCTCCAAACATGGGCTAGTTGTAATGTACGTCATAAAGTGAAATCAATTGAGTCCACACCAATATTGCATAAGCTAACAATCTTATAACGCAAGAGTTCTGCTAAACCTTCATACACTACAAATCACATGGCTATACGAAAAGAACATAATACATTTCTCTTACATTGTAAAAATCTGTGCAACTAACCACGTTCTTTGAAAGTAAACCGACAAGAGAACATAAAAAGCATTGCACAGAAATGGAGAAAAAAAATCCGGAGAAATACCTCTAAATCAAGCTTCATCAGACTGAGTGGGTGAAACACTGCGAGGCACATCAGGTGACTGACTGCGGTGGGGTTGCTCTGGGGATATGCTACCTTGAACCGGCGACGCTGAGAGGCTTCGGTTTCCTGGTGAAACTGACATTCGGCGAAGAGGAGGAGACGCTTTGAGGTCAGGAGACTCACTGCCCCTGAATATGAAACAATAAGAGAGTGGATCTAAGATTCTTGCGAACACCTAATACGTGCAAAATAGCTTCCATAACACTATAGTACACGTCCAAAGCAATATCAAATTCTAAATAGGAAGAGATTGGAACCGCAATTCACGCAATCACTAGGAGATGGGTTGCCACAACTGAATCTATCTGCAGAGAAATGGAGAGAGAGAGAGAGAGAGAGAGAGAGAGAGAGAGAGAGAGAGAGAGAGAGAGAGAGAGAGAGAGAAGGGGAAGGGGCGGGCGGGGGGTTGGATTCCCAACTTAGCAAAGGTACGGAAAGAAAATCACCGGACAGGATCCACTGGAGACAAATCTTTAGTCCTTGTATCCATATCCTCCATGGGCTTTTCAGAATCTGACAGCTTCCGAGGACTACCACTCAAGCTTCGGCTGCGGCTGCGGCTGCGGCTACGGCTGCGGCTGCGACTCACAGTCATCTTCCTTTCAGGACTCTTGCTCTTTTTCATTCTTGAGCTACGTCCTTTACTTGGGCTGCAGGACAAAAGCTCACAACAATTTAACCAGCTCAGGGTTATGGACAGCAAACAGCAACCCTTTGCGATCAAGATTGCTAACGACGTAAATAACAAGAGCTCCGTATTACATACGTACCTGATACTACCCCGGGGAGAACTCCTAGGTCGGTCGGATCCGCTGCGAGCAAATCGCTTTGAATCCCTATCCGCGCGGCCTCGACTACGGCTTCGACTGCGACTTGTGCTACGAGAAGCGCTGCGACGCCTAACATCACGACCCCTTTCTCTTTCTCTTTCTCTATCCCGTTCTCCGCCTTGGTATCTATCATCACGGTCTCCACCACGATACCTCTCTCTTTCATAGCGATCTCGGCTGCGACTACGGCGGCGTGTGTCTCTCGAATGCCGATCCTCCTCTCTGTATCTCCGATCCCGGCTTTGGACATGTCGAGAGCCGGATAAATTTGATCAAGAAATAGAAAACCGGGAGGCATTTAAGAATTGTAAATCAAAACAATAGAAGAGAAAAAAAACCTACATCAAAATATACGATGAATCGTATACACAATCGCAAATACCACAAGTTGTGATCGAAGTATCAAGGCACTTGAAAATATAACCAACACGACTGACTGAAGCAGCTTGCACAGTAAACAAAATTTAGAACTTAAAAGAGGAACCAAACAAGTACATACATGAATGAATACCATCGGTCAGAAAAACATTGCACAACAATTGTAGATTAAATACCTCGGGCGCCTTGGGCTCTGACTTCTGGACCTGCTAACCTTCCTCACAGTTGTGTCAGTGATCCTTCCTCGATGACTGCAAACCAACCAACGATCAAAATACCTCTACAATCATCACCCAGTTTCCTCAAAAGGTGCGTACATTGCGACACATAAACTACATAGCTTGAAGCCACACAGAAACAGATCATTAACATCTACTGTATCCAACCAGCACTTCTCAAGGTAGTCTTCTGTCTTCTGCTCAGAAATTTCTTGTTACTCACATTGGCTCGTCATTTCGACCATATTTGGCACTCTGCACCACGATATTTCTTCCATCAACGGTCCTGCCTGTGCCAAGGCCAATGGAACAAACAAGAAATCAGGAGGGGGAGCTACTCAGGTATACTGAACTGTCAAAATACAAAGCAGTTGTATACAAGATACAAGACACAAGATTATGTGAAAGACCGAGGAATCACCATCTAGGCGCTCAATCGCTTTTTGTGCCTCATCAGCGTATTTGTATCGCACAAATGCGAAACCACGAGATTCTCCAGTCCTGCAAAAATAAGCACATCAGCCGCCTGTACATGACTATACAATGCGATAAGGGAATTGACACAAAACAATGCAAAGTTAAAACAAAGCTCCGCTTAACGCTTCACAACTTTCAAAAGCCCTGTTAAAAGCAATATGAAGTCCTCACCGACGATCTCTAGGAATAAATATATCCACCACTTTGCCGTATCGATCAAATAATGGATAAAGATCATCAGCGCTAGTTCCTGAAGTACAACAGTGAAAAGTTCCCAGCATAATCAGGATTCTGCTGAACAATTGAAAAGGAGAATGATAATAAAACGGTAGAACCTGAAGTTCCGTTAATCGATGAGGGGCAAGCTCCAGAATTGCCATTTAACCACAGCAACTAGAATTACCGCAGAGTTATTCCATATTGTGAACAACGTGAACGCACAAAGAAATGTACGACTCTGACAAGAGACCCCAACTTAGACTATTAAAAAAAAAAAAAAAAAAAAAAAAAAAAACTGTCTATCATGGGCAGGAGTTTGGTAGTTTTCAATGATTTACGTTCTAAGTTAATACAGAAAACAGTTGAACTAATTGCAACCCCAGAATTCAAATACAGCTTTTCAATTCAATTTCAAAGTAAAGGATTCAGAAGAACTCTGAACACTATGATTGCAAAATTACAAAACTCGTGATCCACTAGCACAATGAAGTATTTAACGCCCCTCGAAAATATCGACTTCAGAAAATAAAACTCTTGTAGAAAAAAATTCTGAAATTGCCGCAAGAAAGTAGTTTTCAACCGTTAATTGGTCCAAAACCTGAAGCTATGGAAAATTTTGAAATACAAAAGCTTCACATAAAATTGACTCGAAAAATTGATCCACGAAATAACCTAAACTCCACGAGAATAACCTACAGTTTCCGCGAAAATCTTGACCCGAATCAGGACGGAAGAAAAACACATGATTACCGAGGTTAAGAAGAGGGCATTGATAAGTAACCATAGTTATCCCTGGAGACATCTGTCACACTAATCACTCGGGGACAAAGAGAAAAAGAAGATAATAATAACAAATACAATTAAAATGAAAAGGACAGAGGGGGGGATGATTGCAAAGATTAATGAGAGAACGTCCTAATAACAAGACTCAGAAAACCTAACAACACATAATCACTCTAACCAGAAACTAGCGAATAATAGACCTAAAATCACTCAACTTCCACACGATATCCCCGCAAGCACCCGGGGAAGACCACAACACGAGACGAAATGCGCCACGGGGTAGGAGCAGAGATGACATACGAAATGTGATGTTGAGCACGAGCAACGAGTAAGTATCCCTGATATCAGGCGGCCCGGCTCTGCCAAAGTGAGACATGGTGACTACTCCCAGAAGCAGCTTCTCGCGCTCCGGGGCTGGTGCCCAAAACTAGAGATGAAAAAAAAAAAAAAAAAAAAAAAAAAAAAACGGGGGGGGGGGACAAAAGAACAAAGGGAGAAGGGCAACAACGAGTCAAGAGGCTGCGGAAGTGGAAGCAAGGAGAGAAGAGCACGGCGGCTAAATTGGGGAGCGGAGTCGATGAGGCAGAGGACCATCCCCCGCAAACACCATCGCCTTCTGTCCTCCGACGTCCTCAAACAACCCGCCTCTGGTCACCATCTGCCCCTGTTACCGCGGGGCGCCTTTTTGGGCACCCATTCCCGTGCACCAACAAAGTTTCAAACCTGTGCCGCAGATTTCGGAGTCAGCGGTTGTTATTCACCAGTCGCATTCAACCGCGAAGAGTAGATAGGGACAGGAAATTTACCCTCCATGAATTTACCCTTCCATTTCCACAGGTCACTATTCTATCCTTCAGCTAAAGTTACTCAATATTTTAGTATTCAAAATTATTAATACGTCTTCTGAAATATAGAAGAATTATCGTTGGAAAAAAATCGTCGAAACACATCCATCGGCGTATAAATTCAAATATATCATCCATTCTTGCTTCAGAATACGTTCATCCGCGTCCAAGGCTGTGGCGGGGTTTACACAAGGCGACGGAGACAGGGTCGAGGTTGAACCTCTGCGGCGCCGGGTCCTTCGAGAGAGGGTATGAACGTGTGCCTCATTCAATCTCTCTTTTGTTTCGCTTCGTTTCTTATTCCTCTTTGATCGAATTGTCATCGTATTCAGCGTGCGATGTGGCTGCGCGATGTGATCTAACCATGTCTTATGGTCGTTTTCCATGAACTCTGGGCTCATATTAATATCGCAGCTGTATTCTTAGTGTTCTTAGCACCGTGTGTTGCTGCGCGATTTAGACGCTGCAGTTTGTTGCGTCTAAGCCTTGGACAATCTGATGGTATATTTGTTCATTGTATCGCTGCGCGGTGTGCCTGGGATTGAGGTGGCATTTCTACGACGATTATGGGAGAGGAGGTTTAGGGTTTGAAATATTTGAATCGTGAGCAATATATTTCACTAGTCATTCACTGAATTGGAGCTGGACATATTTTAAACGTTACATTTTTCATGTTTTTGAAATTTTATTTTTATTGTTATTTTTATGTTTGTCTCTCTAGTGAACGATTCCTCTATCAAATATTGCTCGAGCTTCATTAATCTTCCAAGTTTTTAAGGAACTCTTTACTTACTCATTTACAGGTTTTGGCAGGGGTAGATGCGACTCTTTTCATGTCTTACATTCCGTTCGTGCGGGCGACAACTGTTTCTGGGATGTTCTCTCCAGCTTCTGCAGAATGCGGTGATGCATTGAGTACTTGGTTTGTTGGATGCCCACTAAACCACTCCAAGTTTCTGCACTATGGCTGCTCTTGGTTGCAACATCATGATGGAAGGACATGCGTTACCGCTCATAGATGAAAGTAGTGTAACAATAAATTCATTAGGACTATGGTAAACTCTGAAGTCGGCATGATGGAGCAACTTACTGCTTTGGACAATCAGCAGGCGTTCTGGAAGGTGTACCATCGAAATCCCCTCACCTGTGCTGTAGATTTTGTTAAACCTCAGCTAATGAGGTGTGTTATTTCCCATCCTAGTGAAAGAGAATCATTAGGTCTTCGCATTACACGCTGTCGAAAAGGTGTAGTACTTTTGAACAAAGAGCATGCCACGTCCGTCATGAAAAAGACACGTACAAGCTTAGCATCCACAAGCTTTCAGCAGGTACAGTCAATTACGCAGTTCCTCTGAACCTAATCCGGTCGCAATTCGTTAGCCTTCTAAGAAGTCTGGACCTATTCCAGGCACACGATCTCATGCATATCCAAGCACCATCCTACAAAAAGAGGGCGAGCAACACCAGCAATATCTTGAGGACTTGGCTTTGTACATTTTTAAAGCGTATCAATATCCGTCCTACGTGAAAAGTTTTTGGCTGAGAAGGTTGTTGCTGCAGCTCTTTCATTATCAATTCACTTTCGACAGTGCAACTCCCTTGCAAGTCAAATATCTGCGTCTAATATTAAGGGGGATTTTGATGATGAAATCTTGGGTCTCAAGTTACGGATGGAAGAGTAGGTATTGGCCGTGGTTGAGCCTTTCTTACCTTTGCTTCGAACTTTTCGCGGCAGGATGGGAACAATATGTTGGCTCTCAAGTTGGATCCGCGTTTTAAGGGGTTAGGTCTTCTGTGCGACTACGTGGGAGCAGAGAGAGTCGTGGATATCGTGTCCGGGTATGATAATCTGGTCCTGTTACCCATATTGATGCAGTGTTACAAGCGTTTACATCCGACAGCTCAAAGTCAGGAACTTGTAATCCCCGTTTCCCATGTTCTGTTTTTGGAGCTCAAGCATTAGCAGAGGGAGTGATCTGAGAACAATTGAAATCCGAGTTGTCTTTGTTCAGAAGGCTGCAAGTTGAAATTGAAAGAGTATTTAACACAGCAGGTCAGATTCTGTCTCAACAACGACGCACACTTGCTTTGGAGAATTTAGATAAGTTGGTATTCATTTCCAAAAACTGGCAACACGAGCGAACTAAGGCTGGTTAATCGGAGGTTGAATCTATCGAGAATTTTCTGGAAATTGAAGACAGTATCATTGATGACAATATCCATCTTATAGAGGAAGCTGACTTGTTTGAGAAATAAATCTCTCATGATTAAGGTTTGAGTTCTGGTTCATTTTGTTGATACTGCAGAACATGTATATGTGACTGAGCTAGATTACTGTGTTTGATGAACTTTACTTCTCTGTTCTGGTACAACTGAATGCTTCTGTTCTTACGTGGCTGTACAATTAAATTGTTGAAAATAATTTTATTACAATTGTTCTGAAGTGCACGATCGCTTCAAAAAAATGCCCAATATAGTACTGATCTTTTTTTGTTCATACAATCAACATGCTTTCAAGGGGGTTGCCAATGATTAATCTCGTATAGGTGCAAGAAGTCACGCATAATTGCTCTATTCTGTAAGAATCTTTTTCCGCAACTGAGTGACATGTACATTATATAATTTCGAAAAACCTTGACCTTTACAGACTGGAACAATCAACTCAGTGGTTATAAGTCTTATTCAATGGAAATGGAGGCTAGTTCAGGTGTTAACTCTTCAGGTTCTAACCCCTCTCAGGCACCTCAATATTAGAGCAATTTAATCCTCAAAATTCTCGAGGAATGCTAATCGCTCAAATATATTCAATCAAGTGTGAAAGTTTATTTAGGCTCTGCAGAAAATATCCATACTAGATTTAATTATTAAAGATGAGTAGAGAACTATAGGGTTTGACAGGAAGTAGCGCATCATGGAAGCGAACAAGCGACTGCTAAGAAGTCCAACCCCTGCAGAAGGTCCAACCGAAGGGATCTTCATAAGTTTCATTGGACCAATAGTAACCTCTAGTGGTGACTTTCCAAACATACGGGCCATCAACAGCGCACTGTAATTGTTCATGGTAAGCGTCACCCTCCCACACACTTCCTTGTGACGGGTGCCCCACTCAAATTTGCAGAGAAACAGCGTTGTGCCGAAGAAGTTTTGGTTGAACTCGAAGTGGCAGTCGCTGAAAGGCCGCACTATCACGTATCCGAGGTCATCATCTCCGGATCTGCACTTGACAGCTACGGGACTTGTCATATCATTTATTATATCCACGCTGCAGCTACCAGCTATGACGTAGCAACTCGAAACTCAACAAAAAGAGGAGCATGTGTGGCAGGAAAAGCTTTCCTGTCGTTACCATGTTTACATGCTTCCTAGTTGCACTTGCTCTTTAACAGCTCAAGCTTGTAAATATTGGGAACACTACCTACTGTGGCAGACGAAGAGACATTCAGGTACTGGTGCATCCCATATGTAAAACATTGCAATTCTCTACGCAACCTGCCCCCAACTCAGTACAATATGCATATAATAATGTTATCTATTCTCCTCATGTACAACAAGATTGCAGCCAATGTGCGACAGAGTGCAGCGTACCTGCCAAGTTTAATCAAGTGTGCGGTTATGCTGGCGCCTCGTACTTGGTGAAATCCCTTTAGAAATCGACTCCTTTCATTTCTACTCCATGCGCAGAAAGTGTTTGATGCCAAATTCATGATTCATGATTACATGCTTTTGATTATTAAATTTAAATCTGGAAAATGCTGGAAAATGCTGGAAATCATATTCAGATTTGGCAGATTTAATTTTCACTAATCTAGGTTGCTATCGTTTAAAATGAATGGAGCAGACAGTATTAAAAAAATCACAAAAATGTGCGTTATATAAGTTACAATACTAAATCTAAGTGATTGATTGATCATTATACAGTCCATTTTTGTCCCTTGACAATTATCAAGTACTAATTAAACATTTTCGATTTTTATTAATCATTTTGATAAATTGCAGAATTCTATATACCACCATTTCTGCTCTAGTTAATTTGGCTTTTAAAATCTGATATGTCATAGCTCATGAACTTAAACAAACACCTTATGATTAACTTAGTAAATTAATAGATATTACTCACAAAAATTAATATTCTCTAAAGATTAACATAACATTTAATTTAAATTGTACTAGCATTAAAATAAAATAAAATGTTTGGCCTTGAGAATAATATGTTTAAGTGGTAGGATCTTAAGTGTGCTTATAAAGGTTGTAGAAATTAATTGCTTTATTGGTTTTTTCCTTAAAATAGCATCACAACAACAAAGCTGAAACAAAAGAGTATCATGTGTCTTTTGCAAAGGTGACAACACAATATAGTGAAAGCTCATAGGATGTTTTCAAAAATGAACTGTACAACTATACATTACAATGCAATCATTTTGAAAGAACCCAAACTGCATGCATACTTGATTTTCATGCAGATAAAAAAGACAAAAGTCCCTGGCGTCGTCATGGTGGTGGTGTCAGCCAGACCGTTGTGAAGGAACAAGAATAAAAAATATGAAATATAAAAACAAAAAACAAAAAGCTTAAGTCCTGGGGAACCAAGTACAGTCACAACTATACCACAAATGGTATGATCGAGGCCTGCATCAGGTCTCTCTTGATGTGATTCAATGTTGGAGGACCGAATCTGAATGGATGCAGATAGACAAAGAGATTACCATTATCAATTTTGCACGTACCATCAAATCGTCGCATCTTCACTGCTTCTAGGGAGACTCTCCTGTAGCGTCTTTCAGTTTTCGTTATGTACAGAAAATTCCAACGTTTTCCTAACTGAGTAAATGATGTGCGTGTTACGATATGTGTGAAAATGGAGGAGCGCAAATAGTTGCGAATCTCCACAAGTGTACACAGAGTACTGACACTAACCCACGTATATGTATGTCTTTCCCTCTGCCTAGCAGCACCTAAGGATTCAGAAAACTACACTGGGCGCCTTCCACAACGTTCGAGCTCATGGTGGATCTGTGTTGTGAACCAAGATCGCCAGCCGCAAATAACAATCAGGATGTCGACGATGCACGGTCCAAGATGGGTCAAGTACACAGCAATGCTGCACTGACAGAAGTCGAGCGGGAGTGGTTGTGTTCTCCTTCGTAAGTGATGATGAGCATAGATGAATCTTCCAGTGAGCGCTCTACGTGTTTACGAGCTAAGCAGCCTCGCATGCTGCTACACTTGTAGTACCCTCTGCACATCAAAAACGAACCATTAATCTCAAAGACAAGATCCCACTCAGAGGGCCATTTACCTACTGCTAAAACATCTCAGCAATAGTCCGTATCAGATTTTTACAAGAGCCTTCCACGACGATAAAGTCATGCTAGATCAAGAGGTTGACCCCACAGCCATTCCTTACACATAGAAACTAGTTACTCTGGCAGCATCCCTGTTAACTTCAGAATAACTCCAATCGGGGGGAAGGGTTCATTTAACGTTAAACAACTAATGATGTCATGAGGGTTTCGAGAAGGATGCTGAGGTGGCGACAATTCTAACGATCCTGCTATTACCAGGTATTAATTCGCAATGACTGGTAATAAATGACAATAAATTGCAGGTAGAAATGAAGTTCACATACGTTCGCTACCTACGTAACCATATTCCAACAAAGAACACGTACATCGCCAATCTTGCTCACTCTTCTCCAGTAAATCCATTAGTATTGAAGAACCCACACCTCTAAGAATGCTACCGGAATGGACACCAACCCTTCGTCTTCAAACCAAAATCATAAGAATTACCATATACAGATAATGCACACGTATTTAACGGCAAAAGGTATGCATATTGAACACGTTTGCATTATCAACCGAATTTATTGTGTGTGTCAAATTATTCTCTAACAACAGTTCGTCAAACTTGGCAGTGGTTCCATCACATGCCAGGTGTAGGCACGAAACCGACAGGATACAAGGACTCCGTAATCGCTTCGATATGGATACAATAAGCGAATTACAGTATCTTAAGCAACACTTCCAAACACACTGGCCGGTAAAATTTCCGTTCAGGAAGTAGGAATAAGCAAGGTCCTGGAATCGGAGATACCTAGGGTGCGGGGATCCTTTGATAGGCTTCTGGCCATACTTGCGCCATGAATAATCATCGGGAGGAATATCAGCAAGTTTACTACTGATTGCTGGCACGCGAATAATCCTCTTTACTTTCAGTTTCCTATGATTCTCGAAAACAAATCAATCAATCAATCAATTAATAGTAGTCAATGAACCTGACTTGTAAGTTTAAGAAGGCCTTCAAGTCAGAATGACAAAAGATATCACAGAACTCTTTAGAGACACTTGGTGCTCTACCAAGAATTGTCCGTCCCTTCAACAAGCTCGATGTGTAAAGATTTCCGTCAAAGCACGCAGCTTTTCAGAGCCATTTATACATACATCACCACGGTACGCTCAAGCTTTTATCCCACTTTTAGGACTTTGTTTCGCGACTGAAAGCGCATCCACAAAATGAAAATGGCTCTGATAAATTTGGCTTGGATAGTTGCACGACATCAGCATCAAAGTGCAGTAGAGACTGACAGAGGTATGTAGGAGGGGAAAGAAAAAAGAAAAAAGTAAAAAAAAAAAAAAAAAAAAAAAAAAACACTCCTGCGTGCATGCCACTCACTCTCATGAGTGTGCAGGTTTTCTCTCAGGAAAATTTACATGGAACACAAAGGAGCAGATTGACTTGCCTTCTTTTAGAGCAATGGCAGCGGCCAGCTGTGGCACACTTCCCGCTTCCTTCATCCGCCTTTCCCATGCACTTCTTCTTCGTTGGTGGTCCTTGAGCGCGCCGTTCAGGAGTAAAGTTATGCACCTTATCTGAATCAACACTACCGTCCAAGCAGACGGAAGCGAACGACTTGGAGGTCGTAGTTTCAGGACCCCTCTCTAACGACCGACCCAATTCTGACTTCCCAAGCGAGATCTCTTGAATCATAGAGTGATAGCCTTGCTGGTTGCGCTGTTGCAAAGGTGACCACAGCTGTTGTTGCAGATGCTGATGCATCTGCTGCAAATGTAATTGCTGAAGCCGATGATGATTCAGCTGAAGATGATTCATGCCTGATCCTCCTGAACCCAAGCTAGCCCCCAACGAGGCTGAGACTTGCGGAGGAATGAATTGCTTCGCCTGCTCACAATGTCGGAAACAGCAGAAATAGGGCGGTCGATCAGCAAAAATACAAAACATAACTCATCCCGCGCATCTAAAGTCAGCACAAAACCTCCTGATACTGATTTTGGATGTTTGTGCAACCACAAAATGAATTCGATTATGTTGTACCCCGAAAGAGGGTTCTTTTAAAACATGGTACACCACAAGTAAGCATGATTCAGTTACACTCAAATGCGACTCCTCTATTCATTTTACCAACGATATCGTTAACTTCATTCGAACCAAGGCCGAATTCGACCAATTCCATGGTAATGCCGAATACAAAAAGTTAACGTACGTGTGCAGAAGAGCTACAGTCAAGCATCCATGACTCCCTCAGCGACTGAAGAACACCATTAGAGCTACAAACCACGGTTAGAGGGAAGATGCGCCTGAGGCATGTGCCATCCATGAGGATCCATGACTTGGACGTTCTGAAATATGACTGGAAACTCGAGGCTGCGATGAACAGACCTGTGCTAGCAAGTGTTGCTGTGGATAATGTAGTTGCTGTTGACGATGTTGAAACGAAACAAGAACCTCATCCGGAACATGGGGATATTGAGGTGGCGTGCTGCTGGGAAACGGAAAGTCCCTCTTCCGTTTCATACCATATTGCGTAGAATTAGTGCTGGGACCCAGCACATTGCTCAGGCCAGCTGGACCTCGACGAAAGCGGGCGTGACCCGTCCTAGAGAGCAAGGTAACAACCTTCTGAAATCTGGATATTGCAGCACCCGCGGCTATGCTGGCTTCCATGTCTAACGAAGCTTGATTGCCTTGATAGGATTCGCTATGTGCAAGCGACCGCAGGAGCTGCTTCGCATTTTCCAAACCCATGCGCGTCGCTTGCTCTGCCTCGTGGTCGCGCTCTTTAATCAAACTGCTTGCGGACTCCGTGAGCAACTCCATGTTTACTATCTGTCGCTAAATGCTTCCCAATAAAATTAAGAAACTGAAATAAAATTCAACACTCAGAGACGCGCCTCTATCGACTCACTCCTGAATTCTCCAATAAAAATGCAGAAATAAAATAAATTAATCTCCCAATAAACCCTCTCTCTTTCCTTACATTTCGTCTCTCCCTCTTCGTACTCCACTATTTTGTTCCTAGTCAAAATTAACCCCAACACCTTCCGATAACTACAGTTAAACTGCACACAGCTTCGTCGATCAACAAAACAACGCTCGTCCTTTGCATGATCATCAACCAAAGCTCGATGATCAATCAACCCCCTTCCCAAAACTCAACAATACCCCTCTCTTCCATCTGCTGCGACACCGACCTCGACCTCGACATCGCCATGGCCATCGCCAAGGACACAACCCATTCAATGATCTCCAAACACCGCATCGCTTCAGCACTATGTCCCCTCGCCTTCTTCTCGATCCCTTCCCAAGCCCCGAGAGCTAAAAAAAACCTTCCACGCTCCGACGTACCACACGCGATCCCACATGACTCATGCAAGCCGCATGCAATTGACCGATCCCTGGCTGCAACTAAACGACGTCGTCGCTTAACTCGCGAGTGGCATTGTGACGGCCTCCGTGGCAGAGCAATGGCGTCCGCGTGAGCTGAAACCCTAAGTAGCCTAGCTGCGAAGCACTACCATAGTGAGCCGAGGCGAAGCAAAGCAAAGCAATCCAAGGCAAAGCGAGAATGAGGTGATGCCAGACGCTGATGAGCACACAGCGAGACACTGGCAGCACAGCACAGGACGCGAAGTCGACAACACCAAGCGCTCTCTCCCATTTCTCGTCCTGTGTCTCTTCCCGTGTTTCGTCCAGTGTTTCGTCGTCTCTCGAGGCCGCTCCTCTCACCCGTCCCCACTCGCCCGTCCCAGTTCTCCGGGTGCCCGTCCTCCCCCCGGCACTGCCCCAAAGTGGATGACGCCATTCCAACGTTCCCCATGGCACTCTCATGGAGAACGACGTCCCCATGCTCTGGATGGATGATCGTCATCGGTGGATGATTTTCAAACTCGGTGCGCCATTCATCCAACTCTTTCCTTATTCTCTTTTTCTTTTCTTTTACGATGCCTGTAAATATTTGTTCCTTCATTTGTGTTTCTTTACTAAATTATATTCATTTATATTCGTTGGTTTCTTCATTAAATTTTGCATTTCAAAATTTGGTTATGGCTTTCAAATTTGGTCAAATGCCATCTGCATTCTTGTTTTCCAAAAAGAATATGGGTGTCATATTTTATTTTACCAATTAATAGTTGTTAATATGGTACACTTTTCTTTATCAACTTCAAATAGTTGTAATTTTTTTTTATATTCAGTTTATAGCTTCAATATTATTTTTAATTAATACTAAAAAAAATTACATTTTAATTTTTTAAGATTAAAAAATCTCAAAACAAACAACAACAAAAACAACAACTGTGCATTTTTGCATTTCATAGAAACTAAAAAATTATAAGCTGTTGTTAATTTCAGTTTTAAGCTTTTGATTCTTGATCGTTCAAAAAAACAGAACAAAACTAAAACGAAAACAAATTTGCTGCTCATTCTTAGTGTGCAATCAAAGATTGTAATATATATATATATATATATATATATGAACAATTGATTGAGCTTTTAAATCACAATTAAATTTTGACTTTTAAATTTCGAAAAGATAAGTAACTTTGTTTTCTCTTTTCTACAAAAAGAAAAAAAAATAAAAATAAAATCTATTTACTACATTTTTAACATTTAGTAAGATGTAATTACTTGAAATATCTATTGCAATTTTGTATAATTTAATTCAAAAACATTCCCTCAGGAATCATTTTGAATATCATGTCATGTAACAAGTATTCGATTTGATTCGATATTGTAAAATGTGTACATGTTTTTAATTCATGTTTATTTTTAAAAAGCGATATTTTACGAAATTATTTTTATAATATAACTTGAGTTTTAAGGCCCAGAAGTTCGATATAATCAAAAATAGAATTACAAATAATTTGTGTTAAACATGTCAAAAAAATAAAACAAAACAAAATAAAAATATAAAATACAAAATTCTGAATTTGAACTTATTTTGTTTGGCGCTTTCTACAATTATATGTATTGTATGAAAGAATTATTCTTGACTCATAAATTTGTACATAATCTATTTGAGGTTGTTCTGCACCACTCTATTCAAGCTCTGGCTAAGTTTTCAACCCTTATCAAATTTACTGTTCTCCTAAATCATAATATAAAAATAATTCATTCAATCTTTGTAATTAAGCATTAAATTAAACAAAGTAAAAGCAATCCTAGAAATAAGTCATCAATATGCCTACGTTGCATTGTTCTATTACTTAAAACCCATTATCCTTTAGGAACCTCACTTCTATTTAATCTTGATTACTTGCAATATTTTCATGTTCATTGTTGTGATTAGTAGAAGACTTGTTTGACCACCAATTGATCTTTTTGGGAAAAGCAAATGGAGCCTCAATAGATTCTTTCCTTTCAATGAATCTCATTTCTGCAATTACATTTGTGTCATCTTTTGCACTTTCATTTCCAATTGAAACATGAGTATCACGTTTTAATTGATTTCCACCAAATTGAGATACTAATTCTATATTTTCCTTTGGAAGAGCTCTTTGCAAAAGAGCAAGTTCATCTTGATACATTACATTGAGTTTTTCACTGAGAATATAAATTTCATCTTCATTGGGTAAAGAATTCCTCTTATTAACATCTTCCTATGCATTAATATCAAAATTTGGTATTCAAATTCATGATTCAAAAAATAAATCCAATGATATATATATATATATATATATATATATATATATATAACAATAATAATAATAATAATAATTGAGGGAATAAACCAATAAATAAATCATTTTTATTTCACATGGGTTGATTATTTTGGCCATACAGTGATTTGAGATCATTTCTAACCATGTAATTGACTATTAGTATCTTTTATTAATACATTAGTATTAAATGAAAATTTATAGAATAGAGGCCTATAATTTTGTTTGAATACAAATTTTAAAAAACAACAGAAAAGCTTTTAGACCGGTGAAGTTATATTGTAACAGTACTTAATATTGAAAAAATAGTATTAAGCGTGTTAACTAAATATAATTGAAAATGTGTTTGATTCAGAAACATGACCAGAATAATATAATAACAGAATCAATTACTTTCTTTTTTTGTATCATTTGGATTTTTTTTAGGGTGTACTCTAAAACATTTTCACTTAATTCTACCACCCTCACTTCAGGTCCATATTCTTGACCTCCATCAAGCACTTCAATCTAATGAACATGTTTCATTCAGATTTATATCATTATTTTTTCTTTTTTTAGAAGTACATTTTTAAATTCATGAGTTTTAAAAAATAAAAATAGATGGTCAATCTTCTATAATTTATGTTGGCTAATTAAGTTTTCATATAGAGAGAGAGGGAGAAAATAATGATAATTATCATAAACAAAAATATTGAACGATTTAAGAAAATGTTTTGAAGGTATGTATTTTTTACTTCTTTCGATACATTTTGCAAGGATTGTCTGAGAAATAAAAGTGGCTCCAAAACTCCATTAATTTTATTTACATCTGCCTTGGCTTTTCAACAAAAGAAAATGTTAAGTATTGATAGTTTCTCATTCATATGATTGTGAAATTTATTCTCTCTCCTGCTATGTATAATAAATGTGTATAATTCTTGCCTTTTTCAATTGAATCTTTGTGCTGGTTGTCAACTTGTTCTTCTAATCTGAGAGACAAGTATTATATTATATTCTATATATATATGAATATACGGTTTTAAAGCATATCTTACTTTTATTTTGTATTCTTTAAACATATTACACAGCTTTGTATGATATATTCTTTAAATAAAAATAAATAAATATGTACTTGGATGTTGATTCCTTAAGCTCCGCAATGTGATGAAGCGCATCATTCAGTTGTTTAGATGCATTATCTTTGCTCTAAACAAAAATTGCAAATATTTCAAAATTTTCATCGTTTTTATAAAACTATCATAAAATATATATATATATATATATATATATATATATATATATATTGTCATTCCTGTAAGATTTACATTAAATTCAGGCATTTTATTATAATATTTTCTTATAATATCTCGAACTAATCACAAAATATTTCTTACTTTTTTTGCAAGATCCATCAAGTGATATAAACTCATTAAATCATTTGCAAGAGCTTGTAACACAAGAGGGTCTTCTTCTCCAAATAAAAGATCCGATTCTACTTCCTATGTATTTATTAAATAAAAATATGTGATTAATTTCACTTCATTTACCTTTTCTTTTCAAATAGTAGTAATTAAGTAATAAAATATGAAATCAAATGATGTAATGTACAAAACAGACTATTGCTACAGCTTGTTTTATGCAGAATCAACCTTGCCTGAATCTTGGATTTGTGATTTAACCCAACGAGCTTTAAGACCCTCCACCTAAAATATACATCATGGAATTAATTTTCATAATATTGTAATTTTTTTCAAAAAATAAAAGTAGAAACAAAATAATATTAATTATGATATGACATGCAAAAAATTAATTTTACTATTAAAAAAATCTCATTTCTTAAATTATTTAAAAAATAAATGCATGTATGTTTATATATACACACACATACACACATACATACAGTCACAGCAAAGCTCATGAGTTCTGATTAAGATTCACTTGGTTATGAGCATATTCAAGTTTTAGCCTAGGAATGTGGATTGATTGCGCAGCTTCATTTATACATTCTGCAACATGTAAAACATTTAAAATGCTTGTAAACAAATAAGATCGCCTATTATTATTATTATTATTATTATAATCATACATACATGTTAACACAAATTAATATATTTTAAAAGTGATAACAAAGCAAGAATGTGAGAATTGGAGGAAGACTAACCCACCCAAGAGAGGCATTCGGCAAGGGAAGCAGCAGCAAAGGAGTAAGAGGCATGAATGGGGACATTCCGAAGCGGAATGTGTTGTGGGTGGGGGGCCGACGAGGGCAACATGGTGATCGTGAGGACAAGGAAGCAATGCTTTGTTGGCTCAAGGGGATCATATCGAGCCCTTTCGGCTCCTCCTCCCTTCAATGCCATCATCCCCGTTGGCTCTTGCTGATTCTACAACCATCCACTATATTCTTATATCATTATCATATATATATATATATATATATATATATATATCTTATATAAAACAACTCAATGGATAAACCAATGGGATAAATTAGAGGAAACAAAAACCATTTCTAGTTGGCTGCATATTTCACTATTATCATCAAAAGTGAAGTAAAAATTGAGTTATGCAACAATTCACAAGGCTTTAGCAGAACCACATTTATAGATTCATAGGGCCTTAAAAGAATCAAGTTTGCAGATTCACATCGCCCTAATAGCATAGATGATTCACTTCTTCCTCAAAAACAATGTATTGGTGTTTCAATCAAAAACAACATATTTTCCATGACCACAGCAGGGGTTCAACTAGTGTGTGTGTGTGTGTATATACATATATATATATATATATATATATCACATTGGATTGTTTGGAAGGGTAATGAAGAATATGTTGTTTATTTATTTATTTATGATCTTTGCTTTTGTGCTTTAGAAAATAAGATGTAGTTTGTGCATTGAATTGTACCAATTTGTGGGTGTAGAATAAATAGTTTCCTTTGATCATGCAATTGAGTTTCTTCCATTCTTTTACTTGCAAATTGCGTTTTTGGTGAAATAGCCATCCTACCTTCTCTGGCTTGGACCATAGTAATGCCTACACATGTTCTCTTCTAATCAACAATACCCTAAGTGTATTTCTTGAAATGAAATCTATCTATATGTATGTATATATATATATATACACACACATACATGCATTTCATGATGTCCATTCTTTTATACTGTACTCATGTAAATTAAATAGTTATTATTGAAACATTAAATCTATCATGATTTTTATAGAGCTTCAAAGAACGTACTTTATTTTCCATTTTGATGTATTTGTTGAGATCTATGGCATTAATTAATCATCAATTTTTTCTAAAATTGTGAATGCAGCTCTGAAATGATATTTGAATATGGACAAGGACATAATTCCATAGAGTGTTTCCTTTTTATTTATTTATTTTAATAAGATAATGTTATTAATGTGAACTAAGTGAGTTTCTTTCTCAAATTACTTTAGAATTAACATTCAAGTGCGTATAATAATTAAAAAAAATAAACTAAAGTTTTGAGTTTTCTACAAATTTCAATTCTGTCAACATGAAAGCATTATCCCTTGAATTTTTTTAATAAGTAGAATTTTAAATTTAAATTTGTGAAAATACTGAAATTTTAAACTGTACAAATATTTGGAAAAGATTGATTATATATAAATAAATAAATTATTTAAACAAATTTTGATAAAATAGGACTTTAAAACATGACATGTATTTAAAAATGCTTCAACAAATGTCTTTCAAGTTTTTGTGAAATTTATGATACAAGAATTGATATATAATAATGCGTTTGGAAGAATATATATATATATGTTGACATATTTGAGAATTTTTTGGTCTTATAAACATTTATATAACAAAATGCACCTAAATATAAATGCATGATACTTTTAGGTGTACTTTTATTTATTCTTACTTTGAATTTCTATTTACCGAGATTTTTCGATTTAATTTATATTAATTGAGTTGACTCAATTTTTTTGATAAAATGATAAAATATTTGAAATATAAACACAGATACAGTGTACCTGCCATGTAAAAAAATTATCTCTCTCTCTCTCTCTCTCTCTCTCTCTCTCTATATATATATATATATATATATATATCATAGCATTTTAAAAAATTCGCACCAAAAAAAATGTCATTAATGACTTAAATTTTTATACACACATATACGTGCATACATGTATACATTTATTTACTAAGTACACATTCAAGATCATCACATATTAATAATGTTTTTGAAAGTAGATTTTTCCATGTACATTTCTGGAAGGTGCTATAGTTACATTCCTTGTCACAATGTCATCCTATTTCCATTTTTTTTGCAATTTTTTTTTTAAATACATCAAGAACCATGTAAGGTACTATTTTTATGAAGAAGAGGAATAAATTAGCAACAATGTTTTAATATTTAGCTTCGCAGCTGAGGTGTTTCAGATTGATATCCACAATACACCCGAAATTTGTATTGAGACCCGGTTTAAACGAGAGGACGGAGAACCTCGACGTCGACAGGGTATATCAGGGAATCATAAAGGTATAAACACATATCCACTTTAGGATTGACATCCAAAACACACCCGGAACGTATACTGAGACCCGAGAAACCGAGAACCTCGACGTAAACAGGGTATATTTCAGGGTATCTCGAACTCGAATTACCCCTTTCACACAGCAAGGCCATTACGAAGGATTATAGGGCAGAAGACCGTGGCTAAGGATATCGTTCGTCGCTTGGCCTTGGGTTTGCTTGTTATCGGGCAGCTGCGGAATGCCTCCCGGTGTCTTTGCTTGCGGATCCTCGAGCTTGGCACCGCAACTAATTTGCTGCGGATAGCATAGCTCGATAGTCATGATAGTTCAGGATTAATGCCGGAACTATCTGAAGGATTCGTTGATTAGAGAGGCGTGAGATCGACTGTTTTTGGACGAATTTGCAGAAAAAAAAAACAATGGGGTCCCTCTCTCGCTCCACCTTCAGTTCCTGCGCAATCCTGTCTTCGCACTCTTACAAACCGATTGGAGTCGCTGCCCTAACGCGACAGATTTCAAGCGTTTGTAACCGGAGAAGTAGAAGCGGAGGGTTGCGTTTGCAGCATTTGGTAAGGAGAGGCGCCCATGGAGATAGATTTTATTGCTCGTCAAGAAGAGCGCGGTGGGTTTCGCGAAGAGGAGGATTTGAATTAGGGGTTTCCCAGAGGAATAGGGAAGGTAGACATGGTGTGGTGTTCAGAGCGCGGGCTGGAAATGGTGAGGATAGCGAAGGGAGGGCGGGGAATGAGGGTGGTCAGGGAAGTGGCGGAGCTTCTAGTTTGGGTGGCGGGGATGGGGGGCTTTCCAGATTGCAAGGTGCGTTCGCTCGTGGCTCCGCGAGGTTCTATGAGAACATCGTGGACGACGCGAAGAGAGAGTTGGGAGTCGACATTGGCAGTGCTGTAGACAGCTCTAATGCTCTGGTCGATGCTTTCGAAGGAATGGTGAAAACTAGTAAACAACGCGCGAAGGAGCTACAGAAAGAGCTCCAAGAGGCCAGAGCAGAGGCTCAGGATAGTTTTGCTCTAGTGGAAGGGAAGTACTGGCCGCAGTTCGTCGAATGGAATCGTTGGGAGCTTTGGAAAGTAAGCAAGTCTCATGATTGAAATCAGCTTTGAAGTAGTAGTATGAATTTGGAAGTGAAGCTTGTTAAACCCTCTACCCTAAGCCGTGTCATGAGCATTGAATTCAAGAATTCTAGCAGACTTTATATTTTTGTTAACTGGCACTTTTTATTCGTCTCCATCTCTTTTCAGTCGTATCACAATCATGCATCTTAATAGGACAATTATCAGTATTATAAAAAAAAAAGGGGGGGGGGATAGAGAGGTAGGTTGATCCTTGTGGTAATGTGTTGATGTAGGATGTAAGGAGTTGGAATGCTCGACGTATTGGTGCATTTATCCTCTACGGATTGCTTGTCGGGGCAAGTGTCCGAGGTGCGTATTCTACAGTGCGAAGCGTTGGCAGCCGTGGCGCTAAGGAGACGATAGCCGAAGCGTATTTCGAATCCACAATTCCAGAGCCCACAGAAAAGAATCTTCGAAAGTGAGCATCAAATTACTGGCGAATTTCTTTTGTTGATTTACTTCGCCATATCGCAATAAAAGAATCAGCACTCATGAATGTGTATGGTGGAAAAGAAGCTTAAGAGCATGACATAGTGTTGTTATCCGTCAATGTTTACAGGTTAAAGAAGGAGCTGTGGAAGCAGCAGCAACCTGAAGGCTTTCGGGCTCGGAAGTATGTTCGAGGCCCCGACGGAGAATACAAACGAGATCCGACTTATGTGGGGGAGGATGCTTGGACGGAGGATGACGATACGCCTCTGGGACAACTTATTGCTCATGGAAATCTAAACGATGAGGAGAAAGCAGAGCTGCTAGAGTTGCTCAATGGAAACCGGGCAGAAAAGGGCCTGTCCCCTCTTAATAGCGAGTTCAAGGAGGAAGGGTCTGCTGATTCTTTGGATGCTAGTCATGACCCCCTCGTCGCAGGTCACTTTTTGGGTCTTCCATAAATGTCGTTACATCTTGTACTTCATACTAAACTTAAGACATGATATTTGCCTGGTTTTATGATGTAACTCTTCCAACTTCAGTGGATTTATGTGGTTTCTGTTATGATTGTCATCTTGCAGGTACAAGTGCTGCGATTACTGCTTCAGCAGGAGCTGCATCGCAGGCAAGTTGGCAGGAACGCCTAAAGGCGTGGGAGGAGCTTTTGTTAAAGGATAAGTTGAAGGAGATGGCCGAGGAGGATGATGCTAAGTACGAGGTTATAGTGAATCCCCATGAATTGGGGGTAAACGAGTTGGAGGAGCAGTACTTGCAGGCATCTCAACCATCAAAGGAGTGGGCTTTCTGGGTGTCTCGACGGTGGTGGAAACATCGACCTAAGATGCCATATACATACTTCTTAAGTAAAGTTGAAAATCTTGAGGTAATTCTTCAGATATCCACTCTAGACCAGGCTGCTGATGTGTTGACTCTGAGACGGAGTGTTCGTACAGTTGGGTTTTCAATTTTATTTGAACTTTTTGGAGGGTATTTAAAACAAACTCACCCAGCATTGAAAGTTTTTCGTTGACTGTTCTTCAGGGTGTTGTGAAGGTCGTTTATGACCACGACATTATCAATGTTCTTTTATGTTACTCACCACGAGGCTCTTACTATTGACTCAGGTAGCCGCAGCAGTTTACAGTTGTGATACAAAGAAGCTTTACGTGACCATGAAAGACGGCTTTCCATCCGAGTATGTGGTAAGTTCGCAACATCAAAACACTACGTGGCAGGCCTTCCTCACGTTGACAACGTTTGAGACCTTTATGTAAGATCAGGTGACAATATTGTGTTGTTGGTGGTGATCAGGTGGACATTCCTGTTGATCCTTATTTGTACGAGGCATTAACGAGATGCGGTGTTGAAACTGATGTCCTCGGTAAGAGCAACTTTGAGTTCTATGGACGAGCTTTTCTGTCCTTATTGCCAACTGTGCTGATCATTCTTTGCATCCGAGCCCTACAATATCGCGCCAAAGAAGTCTTTTCTGAAAAAATTTACGATCTCCTCAGAATGAACCGGAAGCATTTGATATTGGTACGATGTTCTACTTCTCTGTACATTTGTGTTTGATAGACTTATTGTCTCTTTGTGGCATGGCTGTCTATGATCTCTTAACTACTAGAAACTTGGACGGGTGTACAAAATGTATTCAGAATGTACACTTCTATCATAATCTTCGTGCATTATTAGTGAATTTAATACTCAAATATCATATGACTGATATTTTGAAGTGTTTCCTATGACTTCTCAAGTTATAGTCGTTCAAACCTGGGACTTTTATGTTGTTTATGTCATACGTATGCGCCGCTTCGCATTTTAAGAATTGATTATGACATGACGTGATCTGACAGCCTGAAGATGCAGCTGATAAAGCAAAGTCTCAGTATAAGGATGTTGTTGTTGGTGGTGATGTGTGGATGGTTCTGGAAGAGGTTATGTCCTACATGCGTAACCCCTTGAAGTACCACAACCAAAAAGTCAAGCTTCCTCGGGTACTGACTATATCTTAAATCATATAGATGTGTTGGTTTGGTCATCACGGGGGCCCTTCTTATCTTCTGCTGAGTAGATCGGTCTTTCATTTTTGTATACTAATCTCTCGTAGGTTCTTGACTCATTACGGGTGCCATTTATGAATCTGAATATTGTGCCTGTATGCAATCTTATTTCGTCTGTTTTCTTATGACTTGGCAGGGAATCTTAATCAGTGGGCCTCCGGGCACTGGAAAGACATTGCTGGCTCGTGCTATTGCCAGAGAAAGTGGTCTTCCATTTGTGTTCGCATCCGGGGCTGAATTCGTTGAGTCTAGCACCGGCAACGGTTCTGACAAAATTTTTGACATTTTCTTCACCGCCAGAGCTAATGTAAGTCCTTGAAATCCATGTGCAGTATTGAGTATAAAGTCAGATTTTGGCCACAACTTTTGCTTGGAGGGAAATTGTTCTATATCTGATTATACAACGTTTAAAAGGCCATCTAATGCCTTGGATTGGTTGGCAGGCTCCCTCGTTTGTTTTTATTGACGAAATTGATGCGTTGGCGGGGAAGAATGTAAATGATGATGCTGAACGAAGAGCTACCTTTCAACAATTGTTAGCAGAGCTCGACGGAGAGTAAGTGGTTTGTTGACATCATGGGTGATACTTTATCGGCGTGAGCAGACCTACTGTTGACACATCTCTGATGCTCCCACAACTCAGTGGTCAAGTGAATGAATGTGTTTTTCCTAGTTTGCCTCTCATTTTGGCACCTTTTGTACTATCTTCTATTGTCGTTTGATCCTTGGCATGTGCAATTTAACCAGGTTTGATTGTATACCACAAGTGCTGTTAACTAGGGACTTACATTTGTTGTACCGGTGCAGGCCAGATGACACAGATGTAAACAGATGGTCACTACGACAAGCTGTAATATTGATTTGCGCAACAAATCGTCCAGATGAGTTGGATGAGTCTTTCATGCGGCCAGGGCGAATTGATCGGGAGATTCATATTGGTCTTCCTGGGGAGGAGGAACGCATTTCTATCTTTGGTGTTCACAGCAGTGGCAAACGTTTGGCAAAAGATATTGACTTTAGTAAGGTGGGTATTATTTCGGGGCAAGGTTCTTCGTTTACTATACGGTTCAGGAATGTGGTGGCACAAAATTGGATGAGGATTACTACCTAGTATTTTGTCCAAAGACGGCATTACTATTATCCAATTGGTGAAGTTTTAATTGGAAACGAATTTAAGATCGACATAGTGGTGACATATTATAGAAATTACAATTTGATCAGTTCGAGCAGTCCGATGTCTATCAAGTAAGAAATTATAGATTTTTTAATTTTTTAATTTTAAAATTTTAATTTTCATTTTTTCCTTTTCTTTTGCTGTTCTACACTAGATTAGTTTAGAGCATGTTTGTGAGTAACAGATTACACACACATACACACACACATATACCTTAATGGTAGTAATTCTCTCTCCATTTTTATATGTCTACATGTCTTTTTGATAACGTCTTAAAGTTGTTCCTCTCTTTGTCTTCTGTTGCAATTTACACATTGTATGACGTGGTGTATTGAACTCAGCTTGTGTATCGGACACTCGGGTACTCAGGAGCCGACATACGGAATCTCATCAATGAGGCAGGCATTATGGCGGTGGGTAATACTTCCCGGAAGAGTATGGCTACATTATAATGCTATGGTCTGGTTGGGAAGTGTGTAGGATATATGTTTTATTTGGATAGGTAGCTGGTAACATTTTTGCATTGCGACTCCACCTTCGCTGCTCATATCGGTGTTATTAGTCATTAGTGTATCCGTACTGCTTTTGATGGTTTTGAAAATTTGTTTTATGTTTTCTCAGATTTTGTAATGCTTTGACATATCAAAAGCCACATATCTGTGTTATTAGCAGCACGCTATAGGGCCTTCCACAAAGGACGCTGTGGCTCATGTCATTAATCCTTTACAGAGATTGCTTTGTGTATGTAAAGGTAACGGTTGCTTCAGATTCATTTATGAGAATGGTAATCTGTGCATAATGTACAGGTTCGAAATGGACATGACGAGATCACACAACAGGACTTGATCGACGTGTTGGACAAGCAGCTTTTTGAGGGAATGGGCGTGTCCATGACTGATGATGAGCAGCAAAGAATAAAACAAACTGTAAGATCTTACTTGGACACATTGATTATGTTTGAGACGCTGATTCAGTTTTGATTCTTAAAATTAGTGGGTTTTCTTTGGTATAATGTTCATATCAACAAAAAGTGTGGAGCTTATTTTGAAAATCAGGTACTCTTAGACCATCAATCGAGTCTGTAGATAAAAACATGTTTTATCTACGGTTTGCTCATGCCAACAGAGTCAACAATGGGCTCACTGTACATGATTCGTATGCCAAAGAGAATTTGGCTTTGCATGCTGAGCTTTTTCATCGTGTTCTTTTTCAGGTTCCCATGGACAACAAGAGAATACTAGCAATTCATGAGGCTGGGCATATCTTACTAGCTCATTTGTATCCTCGATACGATTGGCATGCATTTAGTCATCTTCTTCCTGGAGGATCTGTAAGATTTAATCTATCCCGACTTGTTCATTTGTCGAGTGTCAGAACCGGTGATTCTTTTGATATCTGTGTTTGAAGCAAGTCACTGTAGTCCCTGAGAGATCAGTGTGAATTTAACCGGATTGCAGAAATATCTTTGAGTTGGCGTGAAACATTAACGAATTTTGATCACAATCATTACTTCTATGCATTAATTGCTAGTTTTCGATTGTATTTTTATAAAAGGAACGATTTCCGAATATGCAGATCGGGGACTTACTCATGCTTTTTTGAATTAACAGGAATATGCTTTGACCGTTTTCTACCCTAGAGAAGAGATGGTTCATCAAGGTCACACTACAGTGGGTTATCTTCACATGCAAATGGTTGTTGCCCATGGTGGTCGGTGTGCTGAGCGCATCTTGTGTGGAGAAAATATTTCCGACGGAGGCCAAGATGATCTTCAGAAAATATCTGGGGTATGTATTTTCACCTGACATCGAGTTTGATTCTTTTCTAAAAAGGGTTGAGGTAGATGTGATGTTCCAAGTGCACGTATTAAAATTTTTTTTTTACTGGCAACATTGTAGGTTTAGTGCTAAGTCAGACGGGCAGCTGGAGCTAGACGTTTGTTATTGAATGCAGAGGTTAAGGGTTTCGTTTAGGAAATCTCCTGTTGGGGTTTAGTCTTTCATAATGAGCTTTGAAATGTGTGCAGATAGCAAGGGAGTTAACCATTAGCTTGTCCAATAGTACATTTGGTCTGTTTCCAATGAAATGGCAAGAGACATTGGATCCTCCTAAGCGGCCTGATGAAACAGACCTTATCCCCAACGAGGTGGGACTTGCATCTCCAGCTTTGTACCCTTGTTATTTGCAATCAAGTATTATGCATGTAGGATGTGTTCATAGAAAATGTTGCATTCATAGCGTTGTTGGATGGTGTTTTCTTCACGATTTTGTGGGATGTTTACAAAAGAGAAATGTATATTTGTGTGTGCAGTGGGACAAACCTGGCTCTCAAATCGTAAATATGTCAACAGAATTTTCTGAGTTGTTCACACGAGAAGTGACCAAGGTAAGGGCACAGCTTAGATTTTAATTGCTCAAGTTGAATCAGTATATAAATGTTATATGGAACGATTCTCCCTACTACGCAAAAAGCGGTGGATTCTTAATCTGCTGAGTCATTTTTGGTTGTTCAACAGTACATAGATGAGACTGAAGAGAAGGCCATGGAGGCACTTCGAAAGAACGAGCATATCTTGAGAAGATTGAGTGAGGAATTGCTCGCGAAAACCAAGCTCAGCGGCTTTGTAAGTCCCCACATTGGATGCTTCGATTTTTTCAATTTATTTCAAGTATTCTACTATGTAAATTGATCTCAATCTGCTTTCCTCTGAAACCTCGAGCAGCCATTATTTCCTACATAATGGACGATAGTTTTGTCAGAGTTCAAACAGATTCAGCCCCCCATGGTGATGTGTGTCCGAAAATTGATCATTTCGAGGTGGGGAACTTTTGGATTTGTACAGGAAGCGGAAGACATTATTCGATCAATGGATCCGATTATGATGGATGACCCCTTACTAGAACCAATGGACACTGATGAAGACCGGGTACTGCAATCTTCACCTTTTAATCTTCATTCATTTATTTGAGGTTTTAGTCTACAATCAGCAAGTGAAAGTGTTGTGTGTAAAATTGCTTTTTCTAGTCCTGTTTTATTCTGGGAGATTGTCATCAAGGTATGTCTTGCTTTAAGGCTGAAAGCCTGTCCGTTTTCTGCAAAGCGGCATTGTTAGTGGACTTGAATGTTTATGATTACAGAATCTGACATTATTATGTGTTTTATATCCCCTGTAGGAGAGGGTAGGTCCGGGTATGGAGGGTCGTTACAAAGAACTTGTTATATACCCTGCCCCGCTTCACAGATGTTGAGGCTTCATACAGTGCAAAGAAAGTATATCCGGCAGGTCGCTGCACTAGATATAGTAAGTCACTTATGAACGATTTGTAGGTGGAATGAGATGCGTGCTTTGAGAAAAGCGAAGTACGGTAAATTGCAACGTTTGCATAACATTCCTGAAATTTTGCTGTTCACACACTAACATCTGATCTGATCTAAATGGTACGGGATTTCATTCAAGAACGTATGATGAAGACTAAGAGTGACACCAGTAAGCTATTGGCGTGGTGTTTTTGAAGGCCTGTCTCTGATGAAAAGATGGAAGTGAGGTGCAAGAGTTTGACTTTAGATAGAGTATTTAGGACGAACGTTTACAAGTGTTCAAATTGCTTGTATGGAGCTTGAGAAGGAACTGAAGAAGTAGAAACAAATTCCACAGCTCTTTCTGAGAATTTCAGACGTCTGACAATGTAACCAGGTTCTTGTCAATCCAACGTGCTAATTGCAAATATTATTGTCTTTATTTTAGTCAGAATACATCTAGCTTGGAATTATTGGGTTCGAAATCACCAATTCAATCGATCTCCATTGATGTTCTCAATGGTATGCTGCTTGTCGCAGTGCCATTAGCACATGTTGAAAGAAAGGCGTAGGTCCACAATCTGAAAGGTATCCACATCTAATATGCAGCCTTTCACGGAGATTACAATCTGTATTCTACGTAGCTGAGTTCATTGAATTGAGCTTCGATAATCTAGGCTTATTTTGTGACTCGCTATCAGTGTGGGGTGTCGTGGTCTGTCTGACATCTGATCTACCGTTTCAAATAGAAAGGAGCATGTCAAAATGATTGTTACCGAATACCCATGTTTAATAATCCAACAATATATACATTCATGGTATCCAAGGTGAACCACTATATTTGGATTATCCTTCAAGCACAGTATGTGTGGGATAACACTTACAATTCCTGCTTTAAAAAAGTTATTGATATTTTTGCAATGTTAACATTCCAGAAGACCAAGAATGAACAATTGAACTTTACATGTGTATTATATTTATTCATCTATGCACATTTATATTTGGTTACTAACTCTTATTTTTAAAGTAAACCACATAATTCCTGAATTTGTATAGTTACAAAAACATATGTGATTTTTATTTATTTATTTATTTAATTATTTTTGAATATGTTCTTTAAGAAATATGTATCATTTTTAACTATTAACTATTCATTACCTTAATAGGACACATAATAGGCTTATAATGAGTGTCATATTGATGAACATCACTTTATGAATGATCCATGTTTGGAGTAGCAAGCAAGAGCAAAAATAAAAGTTTAACTTACACAAAATCTTAAAATCTTCTTTAAATAATACTACTAACATGTCATGGTACAAGTGGCAAGTGGATGTTTAGTAATGTTGGAGGTTTTAGAGTAAAATCCTAATGCAATTAAATATTGTAATCTACAAATAATTAGGAAATAATTAAATAAATTTCTTCTTTTTAAGATAAAATAATATTTATTCAAGGATTTTTACTATAAGAATAATATATTGTGATATCAAATTTTAATTTTTTGATATTTTTCTTGAAACCACCTATTATTTTACCAATATATAAATATACCAAAAATTTACAATTATATAAATAACTATAAATAACTATAAATATGTAAATATATAAAAATACATAAACACATTTAAATATTTGAATCTATTTGAATTTTTAAATGAAATAAACTAACCCCAAAGAAGGTTCATCTATCAAACATTTTTTTTTTTTTTTTTTTTTTTTTTTTTTTTTGTATAAAATTATCTAATATATTTTCAATTTTAAAATTTATGATGATGCTTGTTTTTCATGATTGTTTTATATAAGCAAATATCCAAAATTAAAAGATGCATATCTATAGTTCTTTTGGATGAGATAAGATAAAATAATATGTGACAAATATTTTTAATACATTGAAATAATTATTTTTTATTCTTTAGATAACACGTGCCAAATTATAATGGAATATTTTTTTAACAATTAATTAATCATCTAGTGATTATTTAAAGATTGATATATAATATACTTCTAAAATAATTATATTTTAATTAAAATTTGATTTTAATGTTAAACTTGACTTTACTATTAAAAATACTTATTTTAAAATTATTTACTTCCACAAAAACTAATAACTAATCTATCTCAAAATTATATATAATATTCTGAATTTAGACTAATTAGTTCTATTAAACAAAGTGTGTGTAATTCTTAGTAATATTTAATGCATCTTTGTACATTAAATTCGCCCATTATTTTTTAAATGTATATATTTTTTATTGTTATTATTTTTTGGCTTATTCAAAAAAATTTATATAATATTATTAATTAAATAAATCATAATTTTTAAAATATTTATAAAACATCAAAAAAAAATTATAATTTTTTTGTTGATATTGATGATTTAATTTAATAAAATAAAAATTACTACTACATTAATTGTAATTCAATAAAAAATTGATATTGTAATTTTAGTTATTATTCTTAATATTATTATCTTTAAATGATATACATACAACTATGTTTTAGTAAATCAAAAATTAGATCAAAGTTTGTTGTGATTGTGTATATATATATATATATATATATATATATATATATATATATGTATCAATTTATTTCAACTTATTTCATAGAATAAAAAATTTATATAAGATAGTCATATAAACTTAGCTTTCTATATACAAAAGATTGAGTGCCAAAAATCAATTCTAAAGTATATAATTTAAACCAAATATAAATGCACAAACAATATATTCTCAAGAAAAGATGAAAAAGCTAAATATCACTAAGTTAAGCTTTCTTTTAAATCACAAAGGAAGAATCTAAGATTGTAATTGTGAGTAGATAAAATCCAAAAGCTTTATTAAATGGCCAAATCACTAAAGCTAAGAAAACCCTTACAAAGTAAGTTTTTTTAAAAACCACTCACAACACTTCATTGAACAAGAATGTCAAATCAAGGGAGTTTTTCTATCTAAATCTTAAAATTCTAATTAATACTAATAAAGTCAAATAACAAAAAATGCTAAGTGGATGAAAATCCACTAAATTAAATTAAATTAGATTATATACATCTAATGAAATTTAGCACTCAATGCCACATTATGTTACAATTATTGTGTAAATAAAGATCACCATATACAACAAATTAAGTGCCAAAAATCAATCATGAATTATGCAATCTAAACAAAATACAAATGTACAAACAACACACTTACAAGTGCCCTGTTTTCTTCTCTCTTTTTGGCTGATTAAAAGCCCTTCTACTCAACAAAATGAATAATACATATATAATCAAAGATGATTGCTACAATAATATTGCTGCAAAATTGTATATAACCAAGCTGAAGTCATAGCAATTAGATCACCAAAACGTGTAGTAAACATGAAAGAAGGAATCTTCAATTCTTATTAATGGATGAAGTATAGCTGAAAGACTTCCTATAATAAAGATAAATCCAATCTCTTGAAGGAAGAATTGAATGAGGTGGTGCCAAATATGCCATATGCCACTTACATTGGAATTGATCATATAATAGCATAGTAGTAGCCGTTTCCTTTTCATGATATATAAAACTAAGAAGATCATCCAATATAACTTTTAATTTAAGATGTATAGAATCATCAATAGAAAGATGACAAAAAAAAAACAATTTTTTAATTTCTTTCAATACTTTTGTCTATTTTTGCCTTTAAGCAATAAAATACGTGAAGCAACACATCTTTGACATATAGAATTGTGTGCCTTGCCTTAACATCAAGTGTTGTAGATATTTCATATTGCAAATACTTATATTTTTATTTGAAGAAATTTAGCAACTAAGGTTGATAAGCTTTGCTATAAACATAAATATATTATAAAGTATTACATTATTGAGCAATAGATAAGTTATCAATAGTTAGAGGTATGTCTTAATTAAAAAAACTCTTCTTAATCATGTAGACATTGGACCTAAATATTAAGTTATTTAAGTCTATAACTAGAGCTAGTTTTTCATGTATTGAGCTTGGTAGGATTGGTTCTTGTTCTTACAACTATTGATAAGGACTATAAGATACAAAAGATACTTGCCTATTGAAATAATAATCCATTGCAATCTATAGCAACATCAAGTTTCAATACTACTAGTTGCTAAGAAGTAATTTATATTTTTATAAATGACACTTAATAATTTGAACAACCTATTTTGTCAAGCCATAAGCCTTGAGATAATTTCTAGAAAACAGTGCACTGGTCTATCAAAACTTTAGTACACAAAGCCATAGGATCATCCTTCCCTTAATCCATTAAGATTTTAATAAATATTCCTAAGCATATCAAAACACAAAAAAAAAAGTCTTAGTTTTTAACTTTGAAGAGTTTTGTGACAACATATATTTAGCTCTACTATCACCAGTATATATTTAGCTCTATACAAGGTGACAATAAGTGGCTTAATAAAGTTCAAAGTCCAATAATAGTCCATACCTATGATAGATAAATGTCTCAATTGAAGTAATAAAGTATTAAAACTTGACTTGATTTAATAACATACTTCACATTAATAAATAGATGCAAAAACTTATTGATACATGCCAATCCACTTATATTATTTGCATAATATGGAATTTATTTTATACACTTTAAAATGTCTAAGCTCTTCATATACTTATTGTATCAAAGAAATTATTTAATCTAGCCTTAAAACTAAGCTGCAAGCTCCATTAAAACATATATGAAATAAAAAATTATTTTTTCAACAAAACCTTGTTATTTGGTGATTAATTTTATTACTTTCTATAGTAGAGATAATTTAAGCCTAATATCAAAGTCAAGTATGTGGTTTCATGCCATCCAAAGAAAATCTTTCTATTATAATTCCATGCTATTGAGTTCTAGTCAAGTCCTCATCTAAAGAATTAGAATTACAAGAAAGTTTGTTTACATCTTAATTGATAATGACTACCTAGTATATAACCTCAAAGTTATATTGCTGAAGCAACAAAATCCATCTAGCTAGCTTATTAATAAGTTTGTCTAATTCCATGAGCTACTTCAAAGGTTGATAGTCATTCAATAATGTAAATTATTGCCCATATAAATAAAATTGGAAGTAATCAATGCCTAAACCTATCACCAAAGTTTTTTTTTTTAATAAAATAGATAGTTAATCTTTGTATAGTTATTTCTTCTAGAAGCAAATATAATGACATATTATTATCCTATATTATCCTTATATTTGAAGATTGCTCTTAATTCAATTATACTCTAATGTAAGTGCACTTAAAAAGATCTAATAGTATTTAGATATCAAAGCACTTGAACTAAATCCAAATTTACTTTAATGTATCAAATGTATGTTATTACTCACAACCTCAAGTCTATAGATAATCCTTGTGAAAATAAGATTAAGCTCTTGACAAATCCTTGATAGTAATTTTTTATACCAAAAAAAGTCCAAATTTGTAAAAGATTGATTGATGCCAAGTTTTTTTTATAAAGCATCTATCTTTGCTTATTCTATGCCAAATATCATATATATATATATATATATATATATATATATATATATAATTAGATTAAATAAATTAATTAGAAATAAATAAAAATAAATAAAAATAATGATATCTTCTGAAGAATCTTCTTAAAAACAACATAGATGTGAATTTGTCTTTTTACATGTTTATAAGTGATTGGTAGATTGAAAACTTAGCCAACAAGTTGGCCACAT